GAAATGATTGAAGCAATGTTTACATATAGTAGATAGGGGATAAAACACGGAAGAAACAAAGGAAGTTTATGTATGCAAAAAAAATCAAAGGTAAAAAATATGACAAAAAAATATAAACCCTGTCTTTTTTTTGCTTCAATCGGACAGTCATTCAGAAACCAAATAGGTACCTAATACCAGGTTTAACTGGTACAGGTTTTTTGCACCTAGGTTTTCTAGGTTTTTTAATTAAACCTAAAAATGAAAATTCAGCAATTTTAGATTTTTTTAGCTTTTCTAAGATATTCGGGAGAAAGGGGCAAAAATGAGTGTATACGAATGCAAAATTTCGCCTTGACAAGGACTATTAAAAAAAATCTATTTATTTATTTTTAATTTTTTATTTTTTTTTGCAAAATATAATGAAATTCTTTTTTTCAAATTTTGCTTGTATTTTTTATTTAACGTTATTAATAATAACTTTTGACATACATGAACTAAAAACCTTTAAAAGACCTTAAAAACCTAAAAAACCTAAAAATCTACTTTTATATTATTTAATTCTTTGGTTTTTTCTAACCCTAGTACCTACATGCCTACCTAAATTATTTAATTTATCAATAATTAATGTACATATTAAGGACATTTAAATGGAGATGTTATTATATAAGAAAATAATAATAATACGCAACATTAAAAATATATGCATTTTTGTTTCTTTTTTTTATTTGTACCTATATCTATCATGGGTAGGCAAAGGATGAGTATGAGTAAAAAATTAAGACACTGGGTAAATCTATATGTCTTATAAGTCGACTTATACTGATTTTCCCACCAAAAAAGTTATTTTTTTAAATTATATTATGAAGTTTAAGTTCAATAGCGACCCTAATAGAAAGTATTGACTAATCCCACGTTTTACACTAAGTATCTATAGATGACTGAAACTAATTTACCCAAAATTTTACCCACACATGATAGATATATAGGTATAGGTACTTAGGTATATATTAAAGCTTGATTTTTATTTGTGTGCCAACTGTGTCCCCACTGTTAGGTATTATCATGTCACATTTAATTCCATATAAATATAGGTACCTATACATACATAGGTATAAACGTGCAGTAGGGTAAAAAATGAATTTTTTTGTACTCTATAATCCTAACGAAATAACCAAATATTTGCGATTTTCGAATATAAGCAATATTATATATAACCCCCCAAATAAAAACTGACCTCTATAAATGAGCTAATCCAGTCAAGAGCAGCTCCAGGCCGAATTTTCGGAAGGGGCCATTGTCATATATTAGGATTTCTTTTTATAAAATGTTCATGTAATTTCCTGGAACTGCCATTGATTCCAGTTTACCATAGGGTGACCACATTTATTTTGACCCATTGATGAACTTTGGAGTTGTGAAGATCCACCTTTTTTGTTTTTTAGAATTTATGTAAATGACCAGAGAAAGACCATTTTTGCTCTCCATTGCGTTTTTGTCGTTACGTTTTAGTAAATTATGTATTACATAGTGCTGGACAATAATAGCGTTTTGCTGGACAAATATAGCGTTTTGCTGGACAAATACAACATTTTGCTGGACAAATACAGTGTTTTGCTAAACAAATACGGCGTTTTGCGGTATAAGATCAAATGCTGGTCAGACTTTGAAAATGCTGTACAATACAGCGCGATGCTGTACTTACATATATATTAGGTATATGGTTACCCTAGTTTACAAGGTTATTTATTTTATACCTAAATCTTCTAAAAACATTTTTATGAACATTTAATTGATCAGCATAAAATTGTGTACAAATTTATTGGGTAATTAAACCTATTTCAGTTTTTTTATTTCAAAAACTAGGTAGGTACCTACCGTACATAATTTATAGCTTTTTATTGAAGAAATGTCTACGTCACGTAAGTAGGTACACAAATCATTATTTATTTTTTCATAGGAAATTATTTTTTATTGATTTGGTTTTTATCTTATTCTTTATTAAAATATACATACGAAACAAAATTAATCAGACACTGCTCTTTTAAGAAACCACAGGTTATGCAACCAACATTACCATTCTGAAATAAGGCAAAGTTTGCACACTTTAAATTTTTAACAGAAATGTTTGTATTCTTCAAAAATCATTATAAGCATATTATACAATAAGCAAATTTAATGTATACAATCTAGGATACCTAACAGTTTGTTAATTAATTAATGTAAAATACACAAAAGTCCCAAAACATAGGTTTTAAGATAAAAAAACATACTAGTAGTAGTTTGTGCAACAAAAGTGTATATAACGGCCATATCGCACTTAGAACAATCCACTAGAGTTGTATAGTATATTTTTTCTACGACCCGCTATAGCGAAAATCTTCATAGGTATTTTAAAAATTAATTTAGAGGTTATTAAAAATTTTAAAAATTATGATTTTTCTTATATATAAAATAAACTTTAATAAAATGTAAATATTCCTCAAATTTAAATTTGAACCATCTGGACCCTTCGCATGGAAAATCAATATTCTACCTCTGCGCTAAGGAGACAACTAATTTTTTTTAATACTTATAATTAATTAAATTGATTTTAAATTTAAAATATGTACGAATATCTTGTGGAATGCTATTTATTTATCGATTCTTCACAATAATACATTTCTAATTACAGTGCTGTCCATATGTATGGAATAAATTCATTTTTAGGGTTATTATGTACTTTTGGAAAAAAAACCTGAAACAGCTCGAGTTCTATTCTTAATTTGACAATGTATATTACAACAATATTAACATCTCTTTCACCCTTTCTAAATTATGAGCACTCCATCGAAAATTTTAAATAAGAAAGGAGTCTTGTGGTACCTCGTTTGAAAGGTATTTTAATATGAAGCAAATAATTAGAGTGTATATTTCAATGTATTTTACAATTTATTCTTTGCTTCATTCTATTTAAAGTTTTGTGATGAACACATTATCAAAATTTTACATTTTCAAAATTTAATTTTCTTAGTTATGATTAAACCAAATTTAAAAAACTTTATATTGCTGGAGAGATATTTAAAATCCCTTTTAAACAAGGTTCCACACAACCTCCTTTCATTTTTAAAATTTTACAGGGGGTGCTCATATTTCAGAGAGGGTACAAGGGTTAATATTTTCATACCGTACATTTTTAAATTAAGGATAGAAATCGACCTGTTTCTGGTTTTTTCCCAAGAATGTATAATAACTCTAAAACTGAATTTATTCCATACATATAATCGCACAGTATTTAATTTCAATAACTAAAAAATGTAAGTAGTGCAATTAGTTTTACAGAATTGTCACTTACTTCAAATTGTAAAAAATAATAGTAATCGTGACCAAATATGTGGTTGTTGGGTTTCATATTATTTTTTCTAAAATAGATGTGAAATTATATTCGTTCAGTAGAACGCAATGGCTACTTTTTCGTTCCATAGTCTGTAAGGTTTTAGAAAAATACTAAATCCTCTCTGCTTACCATTCTTTTAATCAACCCTTTCCAGGGGCCCATATACGGGGTAATAATGGGGTAATTACCCCCCAAGAATTTTTAAACCTAATTTTTAATGCGTACTAAAATGTATTATCAAAAATAGTGTTAAATATTACCACTACCCCCAGACTTGAACTTTATTATCACTACCCCCAGACTTAAACTCTGGATCCCTCTCTCTATCTCCTTCCTCTTTTCCCCTTCGCCCTTTTTCTTATTTTTCCCTTTACTAACTTTCTATCATTCACTCTTTCCATCAATTTATCCCCTCTCCACCACTCACTAATCTCACCTCAACCTCTTTCCATACCCCTACTCATTACATAATGACAAACATACCCAAAAAACACGTAAACTACTAGTACGTATACTTCACAGATACTTACATTTTTCAAGCAAGACGGTTCCGGTAAAAGTTTTTGTTTTTCTTCGAAATCATTCCGGAAATGTCTGCCTACCATCGTCAAATTTGTACAACTCAAATGTTGCAATATGTATATGAGATATATCTTTCTTTAAAGATGTTACATTTGCTTCATATGTTCAAAATATTATATACATACCTTAATCAGCACTAGTAAACTTAATGCAGGTGATATTTGAAATGTGTATTGTTTTAAGATAGCATAAAAGTAAAAAAATCTGTTCATATATATAACTTCAAAAGGTTTGTAGGTTCTGATGGATAATATTACTTCTTTGAAATCCTCTAAAACTTTACACAATTTTTGCATGTTTTTCGTTTACAACGGTCTTTGTCCGCTTATCAGAAGCTACTAGCATCCTGTAGAAAAATAAGCTTGCGGTTTCTTAAATGGCTACTTATCATTCCATACAGTTACTCCATACAGTCGAATTATTTTTGTTTGTGTTCAAAGAAATGAATGCCTGTAGGAGATACCGTATTATCTAATTACCTATCCGACCAGATTGACCCTCAAGGCATAAGCTCATGATAGCATATCCCTAGTATCAGATATGTGTATTTCAACGTTAAAGCAGGAAAGCTGTCTGTAATACATGGTGATCCAAAAAAATATATTTCTAAAGGAGGCCTTGGAAAAATTCACGTAGTATAAATCTGCGTAATATCATACCTTCCTTTTATAGTATCATGAGTCGAAGCGTATAATTCTTCTTCCTTTTGAGCATCAGTTTAGATTTATTCAAAGCCGTGCGCAATTATCATGGACATGACTTGTTTCTCTGTCATGGCCTACTTTAAAAATATTTTTTTGAGGATCACTCTTTACATATTACTGTGAGTAAATTTAGGCAGCCCAAACACCTTCTGTAGATCAATTACAATGTCGGTTGTGGTACTACTAGACATAGTACCATCCGTAGTATCTTTTTCATCGCTTTAAAAGTACTGTTGGAAACAGTTACAGCGTCTTCTTCGTTTTTCTCAAGTAATACGAAGATGTCTCTTCCCTAGTTCTGACAGCCAATCTCTCTTGTCGAGTACAAGATAAAAAATCTATTATAATTAAAAATCAAATTAGTAACAAACTCTTTATTACTTATTAAAAAAAACCATTACTCCAAATAATATCACAATATTTAAATTCTCTCTAAAAACAATGAGATTCGATAAGGAGCATCATCGACGGAAAACAAAAATTTTTCACACAGTATGGTAACAATGATCTTGATAAAGGTAATTTGAATAGAGGAAAATAAATATTTATTTTAGTACTGCTCCATTTACTTTGGTCCCAATTAAAAAAAATGATGGATTTGAGAAATTACAACTTGCGCTCAGCATCCTTTCTTTCAATTTGCTTTGATAAACTAAATTTAATGGAAGAGTCCACAAAATTCCTGAAAGAAAGTTATGTAATAAAAAAAGTTGACATATACACTGTGTGATTCCTAAGTTGATACTTTTTACATTTCCAAATAAATTATTTTCAAAAAAACTCAAAAATAGAATATACAGAATTAAAAATCCAAGTCCGGATCTATGCATCAAAACGTAGTTTTTAGACCTTACTTTCCCGAATAGGTTAATTGGTCGAAATAGACCAGTTGCGTTGCCACCGAGGTTACCAGATTTTGTGGAGTTTTGTGAAAAGTTTAGTTTTTTCGTATTATAGAAAAGTGGTTACGATGAGAAGAGCATTGTGTTGAAGAGAATAATTGTGACTGACCACGTTGAACACATTATTTTTGTTAGCAGGACCGTATTGACTCATTTCGGAACAAACTAATGTTTTTTTTTTGAATGAAGTATCAACTTAGGATATATATTTAATTATTGTTTTTTTCTTACTCTAAATAACCCGGCAGTTCAGGAGCTGTGTGAATTAACATATGGTCATAACCTACTTCATCAAAAAGGTAGTAAGTAACATTCCCTTGGTAAGTATAATTCCTATTATTAACAGCAGTGTTGTATAGCTAAAACATAAATATAACATATTATTACGATATAAATGCAATATAAAATATAATATGATACGAGATGGGCCAACAATGCCGTGTTTGATAACTCATCAAGTACGATACTATCTATAAATTTAACACGTAGGCTTTAGACGTATCACTGTTATTTGCGTATCAAACTGCTGATTAAAAAACATTTTTTTAAGGTTTTTTTTTAAATTTTTAGAAATTCATGTGTTGCGTTACAGCACGCGCAAATTATTATTTTAAAAGTTTAGGCATGAGCTTAAATTTAATATCTCGCATGTCCCGTGACTTCTATCACTAAATCCAGTTAACTGAAATTTTGACAAATGACTGAATGGTTGTTATAGCTAATTATCATTTGTTTATACGTTTAATTAGAAATTTTTTACCTCAGTCGCAAAAGAGTAGGGAATAATGGTATCATCCTTTGCATGAAGAATCATAATCGGACAATCGACGTCCACAATATATTTCTGTGAGTCGAAATCAAAATCATTATCTATCATTGGTTGTATTATCGTTGTTCTGAACCATGGAAGCCAAGCATAGAAGGACTAGAACATTTAAAAATAACAATAATTAAATACATAAATGCTTATGATTTATTGTTTTACTGCTATTTACTTCTTTTTTGTACTTAAACGGGAGAAGAAAAAATTGTACCATAGACGCTCTAGATTTAGTTTTTATAAAAAGAATGTTACCTTTACAAAAGGATGTTTTCCCATAACATCAGTAATAGACGTAAAGGGGGTTTCTAAAATCAACCCTTTAGGAAAAATGTAATTTTTTTTCAAATTAGCCGTAAGATGTGTACCTACAGCCGTACCAAGGGAGTGGCCCCATACAAATATATTTGAATTCGTTCGATTTACAAGCCATTCATAGACTTGCGTAATGTCGTTAACTACGTTTGTTTCTGTTAATTCGGCCTTAGTCGAATCAGCATAACCTGTAAAAAAATAGATTACTTTATAGTTATATAGATAGGCTTACATTAAGAAAAATCAGAACAGAGATCTGTCGAAGAAAGTGGTAATTAGAGCCTCAAGAGAGGAGAATTTGTTTTTCACTGTTGAAGAATAGTAGATTGTGCAAGAGAGGATATGATGGCCATACGGTTCATGATATATTTTTTTCCACCCACCCACTAAAGAAAATCTACAAAATTTCAAAAATAAATTTAGAGGTTACTAAGATAAAATAATTATTTTAAAAATACACGATGCCTTCCCATTTGTGAATTTAAATATTGCGCTTATTTGTTACAAATGACATTTCTTTTAGCTTTTGGCGTCTTGCTATGGTGCTAAAAAATTTCTGACTATTTAGGATAATTTGGACGAATCATAGCTTTTATAAACTTTTTAGTGTATTTTTATATACAATACACTTTACTTATGTTCAAATGAAAACTACAGACAGTTAGCATTAGTTCGAGCAGTTAACGAATAATATCAACATTTCCAGTTTATACGGCCCGATCGCATTGTAACGTTGGCCGGGCCGTATACACTGGCAATGCTGATATTATTCGTTTCCTGCTCGGCCTATTGCTAACTCTCTAATTTACACTTAAGTCCCTCTCTGTCTTGTTTGAGCCTTTTCGGACCCACTTGTCCGATTACCAAAAATATTCAAAGAAATAAAAAACCTCTGAAACGCAACTTAATGTTACACCTGTGGTAAAATGGACGCCTATGGACAACGCCGCGCCGATCAACAGTCTAGAACATAGTAGAACGATTAAGGAAACACCGAGAGCCTTCACCTTTTTATATAAATGGGTTGTGTTATTGTAGCAGAGTCAGAGTTGAAGTCGAGACATAGCTGTGAATAGATCGATATAGTAAATGTCCACATAAATTAGAATTTAAATAAATATCTATATAAATTAGTAATAAGTACAAATAAATTAGGTATAAAATAAATTATCATATGTGTATAAATAAATTAAAAAAATAAACTGTTCAAAATAAATAAACTGCACAATATATTAGTAAAATAATTATGATAGCTCATATAGTTGCAACGAGAAAATAATATACGAGGATGAATCAAATATAAACGGGATTTTTTCCTGAGTATTTACGGTTGGCAGGAGTGAGCGCGCGCTTCTTGTACGTATGCTTGAGTGAGGTCACTGGGAGTAAGAGGATCCAGTCGTTTCAGATCCCAAAATTCCCAAACCTGTTTGTCAGTAGCTGTCGCGATGTCCGAGCAAAAAGTACACCCTTGGTTTTAATTTATTTGGATGATAGTTGCTTAAATTTGATTTGTAAGAATTGTTTATTAGGTTTTCATTCAAATAAATTCATTATTATAAAATTTCTTGCTTGTGAAGGAGTTCAGGCGACGGATATTTTTCGATGATTAAATGCACAGTTCGGAGACCAATATTGTCAAGGACTCGCGTGTTTGCTTGGCATAAGGAGTTCAAATAAGGGCGAGAACGAGTGGAAAATGAGGAACATGATCGCCGTCCTCGGACCAGCATTACTGCTGAAAACATTTGCGCAGTTCGAGACATTCTTGAAAACGATCGACGAGTTACGGGTTACGGTATCCGAAATTGCAGAACAGGTGAGAATAAGTTATTGGAGTTGTCAAACGATCATTACAGAGGACCTAGAGTTCCGTAAAGTTTGTGCCAGATGAGTTTCTCGCCTTTTGAACGATGGTCACAAATTGAGGCGTTTGTAGGTCTGTCAAAGGCAGTAAGGTTTGCGGAAGAAGGTGATTCATTTTTGAGACGTATTGTCACCTGCGACGAGACATGGGTTGACCACTACACTCCAGAGTCGAAACAGGCCAGTATGGAGTGGCGGAAAAAATGGAAGACAGCTCCAGTGAGCCAAAACTCGACTGTAAGCTGGCAAGGTTCTCTCAACAATGTTTTTTGACCAGCAAGGGATCTTGCTCATTGATTTTTTGCACGAGCAGCGCACAATCAATGCTGCTTACTACTGCGAGCTATTGACTAAGGTGAGAGATGCATATCACAGCAAAAGACGAATAAAACGGATTCGAGGTCATCCTTCTCCATGACAATGCCAGACCACATACTGCAGCTCTAACAGCCTCAAAACTGGAAGAAATGCACTGGACTCAACTGGAACACCCTTCCTCCCTTCCTACAGCCCAGACTTATCGCCCTGCTATTTTTATTTGTTTGGGTCCCTTAAGGAAACTTTAGGAGGGCAACGATTTGACGATGACACAGGTGCGCAATTGGCTGCTGACCCAACCAATTCCATTTTACGATGCTGGGATAAAAAACCACCCCGTGCGCTGGAAAAAATGCATTTCTAAAGGAGGAGACTATGTAGAAAAATAATTTATTTTTGTCTTTCATCGTTTAATAAATACAGTTGATTTTAAAAAAAATTCCGTTTAAATTTGATTCACACTCGTATTAAAATGAAAATAACTGGCATTAAGAATGCAAATATACTTCCCTAATGTAATTTTTAAAGCCTTTTGTGCGCTTTAGAGCTTTATGTTTAGTCAATACTCGCTTATAATAATTTGACAACTACGTAGAAAAAAATATATATGTACTTTGTTTTTTTTTCCAAAATATAATTATTGGTCATTAAATTTGTAATTGAAAATTGAAAAATTAAATCTATTGCATTTCATTCTACCAGCGCAAGTTTGAAATATGAATTATTAGAATCATATCTAGTAACAAATTGTTATGTCCAATGAACGTCCATTAGTCATTGTTTAACGTTCATTGCGTGGATGTGCAATGTCCCAATATAATCCAAAAAGGGACGTCCAAAGTGTGCCATTGGTGTACTCCACTGGACGTCCATTGGATGTCGGAAGTCTAGAAAAAACTCATTTTTCAACATCCAGACATCCACAAATGTAAATCGAATTGAAGTCCAATGGACATATTTTTCCTGTTTGGATTAATACAAAACATACATGATAGCTCAAGAGCCCACTGCAAATTTTTATCGTCATCTGATAACAAATGGCACCTGTGCCAATCCCAATCCTGAGCAAAGTGGCTTAAAAAATTTATTTTACATTAAAAAAATTACATGACAGCGCTAATTTTGTTTGCCCTTAAAGTTTTCCAGAAAATGACATTCAAATATATCTTGACATATATTATTAAAGGGAAATATTTTCTTCCTCTTAACATCGCACAAAAACATCTATCCACGATTAGTAGGTAAATATCATTAAAAATATGAATCAATGTTTGCTGATTTAAAAATTTATTTGTATGCCTATTGTTGTGATTCATTTTTACAGGTTTCCATAGAAATGACAAAAAAACTACTATGATTATGGTTTTAAATAATTGTCTAACAAGAGCTTATAAATTATTATTGACTATCTCTGCAAATGGTTTATACAATGCCATCCTTCTTCCTTTCATACATAAACATGGTTTAATAGGTAAGTAAAAATATTAATAATTCAGGTTTAAAAGCTAGGTTCACAATGAATTAGGATTGTAATTTTCAGGGAAAACATAATTGTCGCTGTCATGTTTTATGTGATTTTTTGAATATAAAATAATTTTTTTTAACCACTTTGCTCAGGATAGGGATTGGCACAGGTGCAATTTGGTAAAGTACAATGTTGTTACATGCCTTTCAAGCATATTTCATTTCGTTATCAGATGACGGTCGAAATTTGCAGTGGGCTCTCATACTATGACAAATTATCTGAATAGTTACCTCTATAGTCAACAGCGAATATATGAAAATATTTTCTCAAAATTACATATTTGTCCACAATGGCTGACCTATCGTGTCCGTTTCCATGTAAATAAAGCAAAATATCGTATTTTCCATTACTCAAAACACCGTCAAAATTATAGTCTTCGTTTTTAATAACATCACTTAAAATTTCCAGTGGAAGGATTTGCCAAACGCCCAACGTTACGTTTTGATTGTCATCATCGGAGGTCAGATTTTCGTTGTGGTTTACGGTGATATAGAAATTTTTCACCCCTTCTATCCCAAAGTGATCGATATCTGAGTAATTCATACCGGGAGGAATGGCCCCTAAAAAATTAAAATGTATGGAATTTAAAAAAAATTAATACAGTTGTACCAGTGGATATTTTGCCCTGGTTAGGGCTCTTCGGGCAGAAGTAGTCAGCTCGAGTAGAATCTCTAGTCTACTCTGAAGATAATTTGATCATTTGAACCATGGAGGAAGGATATTTGAACTATACAGTGTGGAGCAGCCAAATGAAATAAATTCGGAAATAAATAAATGGAGGCGTGTTCGGAAAAATGCTCGGACACGCCGATTGGTATTATTACTTGCGCATTTTTTTTAACAAAAACTTTTTATACAGTGTGTATTTTAATGCAACACCCTGTATATTTTTCAATTTTTGGGTTCTTCAGAAAATTCTAGATATATTTTTATACCTGTTTCGGAAATAATAAATGTTTTCCAATACAATGCAAAAATTAACATTAACAAAATAAAATTATTTGATTACAGAAATTCGCTACAACACACTCAATACTTATTTCCTGTTTAGGTCTTGATGGAGTAGGTTTTCTGTATGAGTGGTACACTATACTTTTTCTACAACCACAATTATTAAAACCCAAATTACACATTTTTTAAATAATTTGATGAACTTTATTAACGATTTAAAATTAGAAATATTAAGAGGTAGTAAACATGTATTATTATCACTTTTTAAATTTGTAACATATTTTATTTTCATTTCTTTAAATTTTTAAATATATTTCACCTCAGCAAAAGGAATAGTTTCCCTAGCCAAGGTAGGTTGTCGAAGCTTGTCGAGCTTTCTTCTCTTGGTGAAGGGGGCGATAACAGTTTTGCAAGGGTTAACAGACGTTTGCTCCCTCTTGCACCATCTGTTGATCGTATTAAGGGCTTGTTGAAGGATGTTGGAGATCACCTCTTCGAACTTTCCCCTTATTATGATAACCAGATCGTTCGCATAGCATTGGAAATTCACCCCCTGCAGGAAGAGATCGTCTAGCAGGTTATCCACCAGAATGGTTCACAGTAAGGAAGTGGACATCCTCTGGCAGGCCTGAAAGTGACCGTCTCTCCATGCAGTGATGAAGTGATGTTCCGGTTTGCCAGCATGCTTTTGATCCAATTACAAGTTAGTTTGTCGATTCCTCTTCTTTCAATAGAAGCGAACAAAAACTGAGGAAGGGCGTTCTTGAACATTTGAGAACAAAAGATGGGAAGCCCTTCCATTTAAAAACTACTAGATATTTATTAAAACAAAAAGCAGCAAATTTTCTTAAATTTACTACAGAATGGCGCGTAAATGACTTTTTTTTTAAATTCCTTTTAAATTATCGATTTGCTCTTATTCGGTGGTTTAAACTAATGTACCCAATTCTATTTTAGATCACATACTATAAATATGTGTTTTAGATGCGGTGTTGCCAAATTAAGAAAAATATTAGTTTTTTTTACTTCTTTAAAGGTATTTCTTAAAAATTTAAACGATTTGTAACAAATTGTTTAAAAGGATAATTTAAAGGATAATAATATTATTAATAAATAATATTATTAATAATAAAATCCAAGACAGCAACCATAAGAAATAACAAACTTATGGTTTGTAACTCGAAAACAGAATACAATTTGGATATTTTTAACAAAAATATTCTTCGTTAAAAAGTGTAACCCATTTTGGAATATGTCAAAATAACGGTTACTATATAAGGTGCCATTAAGAAAAACATGTCTTAAACTTTTTGAAAACGTATCCGAGATCAGCATCAAATTTCCTAAAGCATTTTCCATTTAACCGTGAGCTTTTCTACCTCTTATGCTAAAAGCGAAATACCAATAGGTATATGGGGATTTGAATTTAGGACATAGTGTATAATTCTAATTTTGTAGAGCCATATAATTATTAGCAGATATTAGTAAAAATTAGGTACTAAATAGTAAAATAGGTCGGTACTTACATGTTGGAAAGACTAAACTTCTTTGTATTCCAATACTATATTTAAATACCAGCGGTAGAATTATAAATATTACTATAAACAATAGTAACAATACAACGAATCTAAAAAAAAAACCAGAATGAAAAATAATTATGACTTAAAAATCAATTTAAAACTTACATATAAAGGGCCGTCCCTAATATGAATTTTTGACAAGATTTCTTATTCCTCCGTACATGCTAAAAAGTAAAAGTTGTTTATTAATAGATAAATAACATGTTGAATATATACCTTACCTGCATTGTTAAAATGCCAGTTAAATTGAACGCTTAATTTGCTATTATTTGTACTGTTTCATAATTGGAATACCTAAATAAATAGCAAAATGGCAGGTACAATAATTCCTGTACAGTTGATTTTTTCCCGCCTCTTCGACGTATTGCTCAAAATTACATATCCTAAAATTAGAATCAACTCAACAGAATAAATACACTATTATATGAACCAATATACCACGGGCACGGGCTATCATACAGTGGATTATATTTAGAAAAGAGTTAAAAGATAAATACGAACCTAAAAGATACCCAACAAAGAGTGTTTTAACAATCCAATCGGTTTTAACTTATCATATGGCTTCTGATTAGTTTCACAGATTCATTGAATATGTATAAGATTATACATTAGAAAGTTTTATAATACTATACCTAGGTAACTGCAGTGTATGTACGTTTCTACTGTGGGAGGTTACATAAGATTACCTCGCTGCTAGACTTACATAAATACTTACATAGGTACCTACCTACGTTTCATTTCAACTCACCTGGCTTGAAATATTTTTATTATTAATGCAATTGCTTTATTGATTTTATAAATAGCATAGAACGAACAGTCAACAACTCTTAAATTATGTTAAAGAAACCGTAATTTTTTGGAAGGAAGCTCGATATTTGGCACAATAATTTCAGAGGCTTAAGAGGACATTGAACTTTCTAGGTCAAGGTTAATCAAATACTTTGTTTAAGACATTTTGAATCATCAATTATTTGTAGGTCTTGGATTCTTAATTAAAATTTTACTATATTGACACACTTGTATTTTATAAAATAATATTATGTTTATGTTTTATTATAACATTTATTTTAATTTTAATATTTAATTTCATTTGCTTTCTGTTCTTATTTTTTTTGGGTTTAGGTATCATAATAATCTACCTACTCAAAATAAAAAGGAACTACTTCATTCTTTTGTTTGGGTCACTATAATTATAAATATATACCTACATACAAACGGGAGAGTATCGAGTGAACCATCTCTATTTTATCACAAGATAATTGTGTTTAAGTTAGAGAGCGACACTCCTGAGATGATCCTCAATAGGAATCCTAGACAACTTCAATTATTCTCTGACGGCATGACTTATTTCCGGTTTTTTCCGGAATTAAAAATAAATCGCTATTTATTTTTTTATCTTTATTTGGAAACCTCCATTTTTTATTGCTTTATTGCTAACTCTAATGTATTGGACATTAACGGAGTAGTACGGTTTATTAGAATTTTTTGCAAACTTTTTGTAATCTACTAGCCCGAGAAGGCGCCTCAAAGGCTCTTATTGACCGAGAACCCTTCTGTGGTGTCACAAAGACAGCTATCAGAACATGCAGAAAGCCAGGAATGGTGGACAAATTCACCAGGACAGAGACGAGCCAAAGAGTTCTTAAAAGGATCGTCGACTAAATTCACTGAGCATTTATTTACTAAGCCTTAATAGGAAAAATAATAGATAGTCTGATCAAATGGTGTTTAAAAGTGCCTGTTTCGTAACATAAGTGCGGTAGAAGGTTTCTCAACGGAATTATTTGTTTTTAGGGTGCTGAACACGAATCTGAAGTTTGCTGCCTTATAGCAGTGCCGCTTCAGGTCGAAAACGCAAAAATTCTTGAAATTTTCGGAGTTTTTCTGGTTTTCCGCTCATATAATGGAAACGATGCATCGTACGGAAAATGCCATTTTATTCAAAGTTGAAGAGCAAAAAATTCTGCGTCGAAAAACCTCCCTAACTTTCAAATTAGACCAATTTATAAGGTCGTTATCGTCAGTCGAAAAAAGCCAATTTTTAGCAACTTTTGTGAAAACTGCAAGAAACTCATTTTTAGACGTATGTGATGTGAAAACAGCTACTCTACGTGAAAAACTCGTACCATAAAAGTTGTAAAGCTTCAAATTTTGCGTTCAGTGAGCAGTGATCATTTTTGATGGATACTCGAATGACCACAGAGGCACAAAATCCATGCAGTGGTTGAGTAGATAAACCAAGAAACACTCAGTGGAAATACAATTCACCCACACAATGATGCCGACGGTGTCTCAAGAAAAGTTTCTGTGTAATGCCAAAAACAAAAGTCGCTTAATCAGCATGCTAATGGCAAAGTGTGAAGAAGCTGGAATTGCCTGCAGACAAGCAAACGAGGATGCAGATTCACTGATTGTTTGGACGGCCGAATTCTTGGCCCCAACTCATCAAACTGTTGCAATTGTGAGGGAAGATGTAGATCTGCTGGTGATAATGATGGGTATCAACACTTCTTCAAACGTCTATCTGCTGAAGCCAGGGAAAGGGAAAGCGCCTCAGTTGCTGTACCAACCACAGTCTACAGTGAAACAAAATCTTGCCAAACACATGATGTTTCTGCACGAATGAGTGGATGCGTCGTCTTTATATAACCAAGGTAAGACTAAATTCTTGAAGATTCTCTCTAAATATCCAGACCTTGAAGAGACCGTTGGGAAATTCTTGGATTCGTCAGCCCAGCCAACGGCAATTGCTGCTGCTAGAGAAAAATTTTTAGTGGCCCTGTACGAGGCTAACTATCTAACAACTGCCTTTAATGCTCTGCGATACAAGCAGTATGTGACATCTGCCTTCAAGTTTTCCAGCAACATTGCATCTATCCCTCCCACCGATTCTGCAGCCTACCAGCATAGCTTGCGTGTATATTTACAGGTTCAGCAGTGGCTCGGCAACAGTTTGGATCCGAAGCTGTGGGGTTGAAAGTCAACCAAAAATGGTCTGATCCCACTTACTACCCTGAAACCTCTGACCAACTAATGCAGCAAATATCATGCAAATGCCGCACTGACTGTGGTGGGCGTTGTGGATGCAGGCGCGCAGGTCTATTCTGTACCAAAGTTTGCATCAACTGTGCCGATTGCTGCACCAACGTGGACGAAAGATGAGCAAGAAGGCGACCTTCCGTTTGCTGCACCACTGTCAGAGGCAGGTGAGACTTCAGAAGGTAATTTATGATATTGCTTTCAGTTGAAAAACCGCTATCCTAGCCACTCCGAGTGCTGAAGAGCCTGAGTCTGGACCATCATCGTCCATTGCAAACCCTACGCCCGGACCTTCCACAGTCCCAGCCAAACAAAGGAGAGTCAAATAAAATGGACATTGCTATCAGGTATTTTTTACATGGCATCTTCACACTATACTTCAACTTACTTGCTCTTCTCCAGCTGACTATATGGTCTTCCCACGACTTTTCGTCAAATATATAATGAGAAGTTACTTTTTTTATCTTGTAACTCTAAATATAATAAATGAGAAAATTTGATGCTTTACAACTTTTGTTCTACGAGTTTTTCACGTACAGTGGCTGTTTTCACGTCACAGATCTCTAAAAGTGACTTTCTTGCAGTTTTCACAAAAGTTGATAAAACTTGGCGTCCTTATAAATTGGTCCAATTTGAAAGTTAGGGATGTTTTTCAAAGCAAAATTTTATGCTATTTAACTTTGAATTAAACGACATTTTCCGTACAATGTATCGTTTCCATGATATGAGCGGAAAACCAGAAACACTCCGAAAATTTCGAGGATTTTTGCGTTTTTCGACCTGAAGCGGTACTGCTACGAGGCAGTAAACTTCAGATTCGTGTTCAGCACTCCAAAAAACATATAATTCTGTTGAGAAACTTTCTACCGCTTTCATGTTTCCGAAAAACTACCATTTGATCAGGCTATTGAGTACAAGTAGTCTATTATTAACAGGGCATTGTAGGCTTAATAAACATATGTATAATATCAGTCTGTCAGGAGAGACCTTGTGCCGATTCTGTCAGGAAGAGGAGGAAATTGCAGTACACGTATTGGGCTACTGCGAAGGTCTATCAAGATTAAGATTCCTTGCACTTAGAGAAGAAAAACCAATGGCAACTAGCTATGCCGGAAAACTACTTCCTAGTCTATGGCATCTACTACAAAAGACCGAATTAGACAAGGTAATCCAAACAACGAATAAAGGATATCCACAATAGAACTCAAAAGGTCGAGGTGCGAGAGGGCACATGGACCAAAAGTACTAATTAAACTAATCTAATTGGAAAAAGGTATGTGGACCTTAACACACTACCAGCGCCAATATGAAACTTAATTTGGTTCCAGCAGGACTGAGCATGCCCTCATAACTCAGCTATTGCTTATAGAAATTTAACTGAATTGTTTGAGGTCCAATGGTTGGCCACAAGTCCATTTTTATGGCCTGAAAGAAGCCTAGACCTAACGCCTCTAAACTATTCTTTATGGGGATATCTTTGTATTTTAAATAAAGTTACTACACCAACATTTTTAAACTCACGCAGTCAAACACTAATAGATCTCACTTTATCTATAACTGGTATCTATAAATCAATTCTAAACTGGCAAGTGTCTGATTTAGGTAATGTAAAGCATACCTGGTCAGCTCTTATAAAGTTAAATGTTCACGGTGAAAGCTCACGTAATATACCTTTTTGCTCGTTAAATCCGGATGATAAATCTTTATTTTGCGAGATATCTTCAAAATACCTCTAATAATTGTGATGAAAAAATTAAATATTATCATAATAATTTTATTAATAACACTCTAAAGTTCACGTTTCAGTTGGCAACTGTTGAAGAAATTCGCAAAATATTAAATAGTCTTAATTCTAATGCCTGTGGTGCTGAAATACTGTAGTCCTTTTATTGTTAAGTACATAACAAACATTATCAATTGTTTCATTGATAAATCTTATTTTTCAGATAAATGAAAAATCCTAATTCGTTTGAAGACCTGAGAATTATTAGCATACTACCTTGTTTATCAAAAATTTTCGAAAGAATCATTTACAACCAAATTTACAATTATTTTACAGATATCAGTTTAATACCTGATTTACAATGTGGATTTAGAAAAGGTTTTCTACCGGAACAGATATAGCTGCGGTGATTGATGATGGTCATAGAAGCTCAGGATAGAGGTTTCGATACTGCTTTAGTATTATTACATTTCTCTAAAGCGTTTGATACGATTAACCATGAGTTAATATGTGTCAAGTTGAGATATTTTGGGTTTGATAGTAATTCTTTATTCCTTATTTGGTCTTATCTACCTGGAATATCATAAAAGGTGTGTGTTGATAAAAAATTCTCATCAAACATTGATATTTTATCAGGAGTTCCACAAGGCTCGATCCTGGGTCCCCTATTATTTATACAGTTGATATTATTAATTCTATTAAAACATGTTCTATACAGGTATATGCTGATGATATACAACTTTATAAACACTTTGACATTAAAATTTAGATCAGACGGCTGAAATAATCAACTATGATCTTTTAAATATTTCCGAATCTTCAAAGGAACATGACTTAAATTTAAACTCAAGCAAATCTAAATTAATATTTTTTGGTAGAAATCGGATGTTTCTTAATAATAATCTTCATTTAAATATTGCAGGTGAGCCATTAGAAGTTGTTGAAAATACTCGTGATTTGGGTATCATTTTAGATGGTGAACTGAGATTTTGTGAAATGAAAAATCCTATACGTCGTTAAAATTATTGTATTTCAATCGTCATTTTCTCAGTATTAAATTAAACATTTTACTTTGTGAATCCCTAGTACTTAGTAATTTCACTTATTGTGATTTTTCTTATTGGCCATGTTTGCAGAAGCGAGAAAAACATAGGATTCAAGTTCTACAAAATTCATGTTGCAGATTGATATTTTCAATTGGCAGGCCTCTTTACATTTCCATTAAAATTAATGAATGCAACTGACTTAATATAAACAATCGGTTTATACATCATCTAGGTACCTTTATCCATAAAATACTGATTTCATCTCGCACCCGCATTAAAACTACCGTATACATGACAGAAACACGAGATTTAGACATAAATTTGCTTTGCCTAAGCATCGGACAGTTTATGTTTCAGAAATCCTTCGCACACAATGGTATAAAAATCTACAATTCTTTACCAGAAGAATTTAAATTATTTAACATTAATAAGTTTAAATATAAGATTAAGTGTCACCTTCTTGATATACAAAGAATAGCTTGTAATATATCCGTGCTTTGAGGGGAGGAATATAGTACATAATATTATTATTTTTAAACAAGGGTAATTTACAAGGTTTTTTCTCGATTGTTATTGTTCAATTGTCCTTTTTTACTATAATTACGGATCCTGTTTGATTAAGTAGGAGTAGCTTTAGCTGGACTTCGCCACTTCGGGTTCCGCCTAATTACATTTGATGTTATTATCTGTATATATTACAATATATTTTTTGCATAAAGTCGTTTATTATAATTATTACATTTCGATGTCAGACCACCGCTGGTTAACATTCAAAATAAATTTGATGTTGCCGACCTCTATGTTATCTCGAATCCCTAGGAAGAAGTACAGGACAACCTATGCTCACCTTCTCCAAGAGGCTTTAAGAGAGGTGGAGGCCGAAACACCAAACAATAACAATGTTTTGGAAAAGTACTCGAACACAATAAACAAGGCTCATAAGAAATTCTGCCCCCTGAGGCTGGTACAACACGATCAGACGACTGCCGCATGATGGTGTCACAAGTTGGATCACCTCAGGAAGATGACTAGGAAATATTTCAACAAGGCAAGAACCACAAAACTCAAAGAGGACTGGGATGCTTACAAATCTCAACTCAAAGAATACACCGTAGTATTGGTGCACTTATCAAAGAGGATGGCATGAAAATTGCAAACCTCGAAGATTGTATCAAACTTCTGCTGTCAACACACTTCCGTGACTCGGTCATCACACATGTGGCCGACTGGGCAAAGGAAGAATACAACCCATATGCCTACTATTGGCAAACTGCCAAACACATTGTAGACAATGACAAAATTAGATAGGCAATATCTAGCTTCCCTCCATTTAAATCGCCAGGACCTGACGGTATCTTTTTCAGCTCTACTTCAGTGGGGTTTGGAAGAACTTACACCGCACCTGGTAGGTATATGCAGATCCTCGTTGGTGAAGGTAGACTTAATACCTAAACCTAGAAGGATGGATTACACTGTCCCAAAAACATACCGACGAATTAGCCTGACGTCGTTTTCCATGAAGACATTGGACAGGCTATATCTTATATATCTAATGCATCCACACATGACTTTCCGGTAAAGTTATCAAATATATCTAATCACAAGTGTATAAAAAATGAATTAAAAGTGAACATTTTCTATACATATTTTATTCGAAACATTTTTTATTTATTGCCAGCAAAAATATTGAGAAAATTATAATTTTGTACTTTTCCTCGTATTTTTTGATTTCATTTTAAAGATATCATGCATATAACAAAAATGATAGAGAAATACCTAGATCACAGCCAACTTTAATTCGATGATTTTCTCCAAATAACAAAAATATAACTTAAAGCAAAAAATCAAGCCTCTATAAAGTACCCCCATACTTCGACTATGCCCAAAATCGGATTAGCTATTTGCAAACTGAATTAAAATTTATATTTAAAATGTGGCATATCTCTCTTTATCCAAAACATTACCGCGAAAATTGTCGAAACGGATTCGGAGGACTCCAAAACGTAATGATCAGACGAATGATTCCTCTACTTTCCTTACTGATAACTGGAAAGTAAAAAATTAAAATTATTTTTGTAAATTTAAAGAAGATCAGTAGAACTGTTCTCTCATTCATTTACAAAAAACAATTTTGAACTCTGGAAAGAATGTACGGAAACCAAATATCAAATACATGTAGGTACAAAGGATATGTTCTAAAAGCATATACAGGGTAAGTCGGGAGGAGCGCACCAAACTCTAGGAGTATATTATACAAGTGAAAATAATGTAAAAAAACTCATATGTTCTTATCCGATTTTCATTTGTTTTCAAGTTATAGCATATTAACAAATAAACAAATTTACACATAAAAATTCTCTTAATCATAGCGTTCTTTCAATAAATGTTCAAAAATACCGCCATTGTCTTCTAAACATTTTCTGCTTCGTCTACGAAGAGCGTTTGCTGCTCTCCTAATTGATTCATTTCTTTCTTATTTAATATGGGCTGCAGTATTCTCAATTCGTCTAATTAGTGCATCCCGTGTGTCCACTTTTATTTTGTAGACTTCATTTTTCATCCAGCCCCATAAACAAAAATATAATAGTGTGAGGTATGGAGATCTTGCAGGCCAATTAATAGGACCTCCACGACCAATCCAACGCCCTGGAAAACGTTCGTCCAAATGTTGCTTGACCTGACGAGCGACATGTGCAGGAGCTCCATCGTGCTGATAGTACATCTGCATTCTAATATTTACAGGAACATCCTCTAGCAGGCCTTGTAGTTCATTTTGTAAAAAATTGAGGTAGTTGTCTTCTGTGAGACGATTCTCCAGAATGAAAGGGCCAATTAAATAACTGTCAACCATACCACACCACACGTTTACAGAAAACCGATGTTGAAAATTGCTTTCGACTGTTGCGTGGGGATTTTCGTCTGACCATACATGATAGTTACGAGTAATATTAATGTCATCACGGGTAAATGTAGCTTCATCCGTAAAGAGTATACTCGATACAACACGATGATTATTATTTATCCACCGACAAAACTCCATACGGTTAGCGTAATCCTGTGGTTGTAGGTGCTGTACTCTCTGTACGTGATAAGGATATAAGCCTTGCTCGTGGAGTGAGTTTATCACTCTTTTTTGTGGAATTCCCAATTGAGTGGCAATTCTCCGTGAGCTAGTAGTTGCATCTTCTTCAATTAGATGCAGAATATTTTCTACTTCTACAAAATCTTGTCGAGTAGCGCGTTCAGATGTTATGAAAGCTTACCAGTCTCGCACAATTTGTTAAAAACTCTAATAAATACGTTTTTATCAGGATGTCTTCGGTGTGGAAAACGTTGACGATATTCTTCAGCAGCAGCTGCAGCATTTTCATTACAGAAACCATAAACAAACACCATATTTGCATATTCTAAATTTTAATAAGTATCTGGTATTTTGCAACACTAACAATCACATAAATTCGAAATTAAACGTTCAGTTACTGTTCACTGTACACTGACAGTTCATCAAAACGTCAGAATTATCAAATGCCTTTGAGCCTTAAACATATGACATACTTTGATAATGTTAAAATTCAGAAGTGGAAAGCTAGATGAACATTTTTAATTACGCCATAACTTGAAAACAAATGAAAATCGGATAAGAAAATATGAGTTTTTTTACATTATTTTCACGTGTATAATATACTCCTAGAGTTTGGTGCGCTCCTCCCGACTCACCCTATATATTTTATTACACTTTAAAGAATTTACTATGCATATCCCTTAAAATAATTTGTGAAATGGCATGTAAACCTCATTTTCAAATGATATGATTAGAACCTCAATGTTTATTGTTATTATCTGGTAAAAATGACAGTGCAAATTAGTATCAGGAACATCGTTATCATTTAAAATCGATTAACTTTGATTTTATTTATTCTTATTCCTAATAGTTATTTAATAAAAATGCTTTTACTTACAGTAATTAACATACCTATAACGTAAATTGCGTGGTTCTATTTAGCACGCGTCGAAGAAATTGGTAACTATGATGAGTTTGTGGTAATAATATTTAATAGGAAACAATATTTTACTTTTTGCTTAATAGTTGGTTACTATTAAAAAGTATAGGTACAAATTATCACGAACTAAAAGTAAGAAGGCAAAATTCAAACGGGTCCAGAAGTAGAGGTATCGATTGAGATTTCAGATGCTGCAATCCATTACTCTCCCGTACGCAGTAGCAGTGCGAGAACGATTCATTTTCATTAAGAGAGTAAATTCACAGAAATGTTTTGCGATAATCATCTTAAACACCAGTAAACGTTGAGGTACGTAATATGTATGGCAATTAATAATTAATTGTACACAGAGCAATTGTAGAATCCCTCTTTGTAAAATGTTGATAGGTAACAATTTATATTTATTTATTTTGAATATTAGAGTACTAGCTTCATTGATATGATGCAAATGTTTTCGTCGTTTTACTTACAGGCAATTTTGTAGTTGAGAGACACACGGCTTCGAATCCTACAGCAGACCATGTGAATTTTTAATTAAATTGCTTGGTTTCTTATAGGATTATTATTAGCAGTAATTTAATTTCTGTGGATATGGCACCCCAGATTACTGTTTCGATGATAGTGGGTGAGGTTTTCCTCACCTGTAATTCAAATGGTCCCATCAATCATCTTTAAGTCGCCCCGGAAAATAATAATATCCGTCCCTTCTCCACACAAGCTCACTCGGCTTCAGGGGTTAAAATTCACTCATAAAGGGGTGAATTAGGGATAGTATTATTATTTGTGAATTTCCAAATAATAATAGAACATATTTTTTCTTCTTGGTTACTACGTACAGAACTAATAATAAAAATTACGCTATGCATTTTTATCGTTCAAAATACTGGCGTAAATAGCTTTTTGCGATGGGGGATATATGCCTTTAATGTATACATAAATATACATAGATGCAAAGGCTTTTATTTATTTTAAATCATTCATAATTTTCGTAGACTATTAAGCTATATTTAACGACTCCACTACTTGAACTTATGTCGCCACCTGAAGACAGAATTACGCTTTTGAATCCTGCAACCTTTACTGAACTTCCCTCTTATTATCCCTCGCTGTCAGTAACCCTCCTCTTATTCACGTTCGTGAATACCTCTCCATTACTGGTTGTATGATTATGATATATCTCACCAAATTGTATACTTTTCTGGTTTCCATTCTCTCATCACACCTGACTAACTTTTATCTATTATTTTTTTGACTTCACCCATACTCTCTAATAATCCTTAAACCAAGTAAGGTTTACAGAGTACCTTACTTTGTACGAGGGCTGTCTTTTACGTTTTGCATACCGTGCGTTAGAGGGCGTTACGAATCAAACGGCTCTAATAAAAATAAACTGTCGCCTTTAGTTAACCTCTAGAGGATTCAACAGAAATCAGTCTACAGGTACCATATTCTTAGATGTCGCTAAGGCATTCGACAGAGTATAGCACACCGGGCTGATTTTCAAAATGAAAGAACAAGGGTTCACAGCAGGAATGACAGGGCTGCTCAGGTCGTACCTCGGCGGAAGGCAATTCCGGATCAAGATGGGACATGCCTTACAAAACTTGGAATTCCAGACGCAGGAGTACCTCAAGGGGCGGTACTGTCACCACTGCTGTACACCATATACACAGCAGATATCCCGAAAACCCAACATACTACCATGCCCCTCTACGCGGACGATACAGCGATATCGGCTACGAGGATACCACCAGGACTCATATCAAGATATCTACAAGACGCAGCGGAAGACATAGAAGAATGGTGCATTAGATGGAAGATAAAGATCAACGCAGAGAAGACACAGGCTATGCTGTTCAAGAAGAGGCATTACCCCCCAGGAGAAGAAGTTACGATGAATGGACAGGACATCCCATGGACCGATTTAGCCAGGTACCTAGGAGTAATAATAGACAAAGGACTCACCTTCACCAAACACGTGGACATGGTAGTTAAGAAAACGAAAGAAGCAAGATCAAGACTAAACTGCCTAATAGGACGCAAGAGCAAACTATTACTGCAGACAAAAATGAGGCTCATACAGGCAGTCATTATACCTATCCTCATGTACGCCTCGACGGCATGGGGATACACCTGTAGAACTAACAGAAAGAAGATTCAAAGCCAGCAGAATATCAGCTTGAGATGGGCCTCAAATGCCTATAGATACACAAGAAACGACGTAATCAGGAGGAATCTAGAATCCAAAAGGGTCCTAGACCTCATACACAAGAAGGCCACGGGCACCTTCGAAAAAATAGGAATAACCCCAATATAGAGATTAGAGAACTCACAGAGTATGAAAGAGCGGACTATAGAAGACACGCCAGACCACGCAAGGTGCTGGATTATGGCGGCGAGTGACGACCATTGGGTGTAAAATTCAAGTCTCTTAGATTTAAGATTTTCTTTCAGCGTTATTTTCAGCATTCTCTTTCAGTATACCCGACAGAGCGCATCATGCGAATCAGACAAGGACTGAGCAACTGACGACTAACCACCTGGGGGAGCTTTCACAGGTGGCGACTTTCACAGAACGTGCACACACAAGACATACAAACGGACGACGAAACAGGGAAATGCCCACAGCAAACCCTGTCTAAATGCTGATAATATGTCATCCTTCACAGTCCTTTAAGAAGGAATGGCATACCAATCATAGGATGGAAAATTGAGGCCCCCTGTAGCGAAGATATCAGGGGGAGGTGGTTGTCAGGAGGGTTCCAATCCAGTTTAATAGGATGGGAACCTTCCCGACTTGGGCTCAATTACTGTGTGTGTACTTAACCTCACTTCCAAGTTTCAGTCCGATTCATAGTGTTGTAATTGCACCGAATTTTCAAAGTTGACAATTTATTTAAGAAATGGATTTAAACCGAGAAAATTTTCGTGCCATAATTTTTTACAACTTTCGAAGACAATTATCTCAACAAGAATGCCTCGCCAAGTTGGTTTCTGTTTTCGGTAGTGATGCACCACATCAATCGATAATTTCTCGTTTGTATGGAGAATTTACACGAGGACGGGCTAATCTTAGTGACGAGCCGAGAACAGGTGCACCTAAATCGGTAGTCACCCAAGAAATCGTTGATGCTGTGCGCAGGATCATCGAGAAAGACCGGCATGTGACATATCGCGAGATTGAAGCATCGTTAGGGATTTCAAAGACCTTAATCCAAAAGATTTTGCATGAAGAATTGGGAGTAAAAAGTGTCTCGCTGGATACCGCATCTGTTGACCGAAGAACAAAAGAAGCTAGGGTATCAAAAAACTCTGGAGCGCTTCAACGCTAGAAACTCTAAAAACGTGTACTGCATCGCAAGTGGTGATGAATCATGGATTTACTCATATGAACCTGAAAATAAACGCCAATCGTCTGTTTGGGTTTTCCAAGGTAAAGACAAGCCGACAAAAGTGATCCGTTCTCGAAGTGTGTCTAAAAAGATGGTCGCAACATTTGTCTCCAAAGCAGGCCATGTTGCAACAATTCCTCTGTAAAAGCAAAGAACTATTACTGCCGATTGGTATATAACGACTTGTTTGGGAAACCAACCCCAAACGACGAATCATCCTCCATCAAGACAGTGCAAGTGCGCACACAGCTCGCAAAACAATTGCCTTCTTAGAGCAACAAAACGTCGAGTTGTTAGACCACCCTCCTTACAGTCCCGACCTAAGTCCCAACGATTTTTTTACCTTTTCGAAAATCAAGAACGCACTGCGTGGGCAATGATTCCAGTCACCAGAAGATGCGGTTGAGGCATTCAAAACAGCCATTGGAACTGTGACACTCCAGGAGTGGAATAAGTGCTTTCAGAGCTGGTTCGAGCGCATTAATCTTCGTGGAGAATACTTTGAAAAACAATAAAATGTTTAAACACTATCTGCTGTTTTATTCTAGGTCTACATGCAAAACTTAAAAGACAGCCCTCGTATATACGTTTTTAGACCCTTTCAGTACTTATTAGAATGCTTGAAAACTTGTTCTCGTTTTGATATTTTTTTCATTACATGGTCTACATTATATTTACCTCATTAGGGCTCTCCAGACCATCGGGAAAATCCCGCGACAACTGCGAATAACCGCTCCGCAGAATACCGTTTACACGGCGACAAACCTATATAAAACGGTACAATACAACCTACATGTTCAGTTCAGGCTCGCGCTAATTGTTGTATATGCTATTTTATTAACTTTTAAAAATGTATAATACGTTCGCAAAGAAAAATAAATCTGTAGTTTTTTTATACAAAAAAAAGGAAGCTCTACTAACATTTTGTATCAGCTCCTGGCCTATCAACGTATCAATAACTCTATCTACCATTGTTAAATATTTATAAAATGACTCTACCTATTTTAAAACAATTATGGTAAAAACCTTATGCTCTAAGGTAAAAACACTATTTCGCAAGTACCTACCACTTTTTTATTTAGAGGCTACAGTAAAGGTGACAATAATTTGAGGAACACTCATACATGAGCTAAATTTAGATCAAAGTAAACAAAAATGAACATCTTACTCTTGCTTAATAATTTGTAAAAATATGACTTTATGAGTTATGGCATTGACAATAAAAAATGTCATGTTTTCGAAAAATCATGTTTTGATTTTAAAATTATTCTGGTAACAAATAATTTAAAAGTTTTTAGTATTAAAAATAGGAATATATTTTAAAACATACCCTGAGATGAAGAAAAAAGTATTTTGTATTTTGAATTGAGACCATATCTGAAGATTTTCTTAACCCAATCAAGACAATGGCTATAATAAAACAGTCATTTGGTTCTAAAAAAGAGGTTAACTGGAAAGTTTACCGGGAGTTTTGAAAATGAGTAATTTTATAGATTTCGATGTTTTCTTTCCGAATTTTAACTTTGTCACCTCTTATCTTGCCAAAAGTTGTTAGAAATAGTGAAATACAATTGTATGCTGACGACACACAGATTGTTCATTGTTTTGAACCTGCAGATATTCCTAATACCAATATAAATATGGACTTAGATGCCATTTTTCAATTTTCCGAAGAACATAACAGTCAATCCATCTAAAACCACAGCAATCTTATTTTGTAGTAAAACCAAAAGAAATATATGTGAAGGTTCATTAAGGCTCGAGTTGGGTGGAGTTATAATAAATGTTTCTGAGAAAGCCAAAAATCTAGGTTTAATCATAGACTAATCACATAGATTCAAAGACCATATTAAAATGTTACTTCAAAGATGTTATGTAAGAATACGTATGTTATATGCCAACAAGCATATCTTAAACTTCGAAATGCATAAAAAGCTTTGCGAGTCTTTGGTTCTCTCAGTTCTAAACTACTGAATTACAGTTTATTACCCTTGCATTGATAAAACCTCACAAAACCAGCTACAACGTGTATAAAACACTTGTTGTAGCTAAATTTTTAATCTGTGGAAATATGATCACATATCCTTTAACATTAATGAATTTAAGTGGTTAAAAGTTAATAATTTATTTCATCTACATTTTCTAACTTTCTTGTACCTTTTATTTAAAAATAGGATTCCTCTATATTTGTTTGAAAAGGTAATTTTTAGAAATGCCGTCCACAATTATTGTAATATCCGATTTAATACTCTTACCATGCCACACCATTCTACTGCACTGTTTGAGCGTTCTTTTACCTATAATTTAGTTAAGTTTTATAATGTGTTTCAACATCTTATGTATCTTCCTTCAATTAACAATTTTCATTACACTACTAAAAATATTCTCCTTAACAGGCAATAAATAATTGTTTTCTGAACATTTAATTTAAATTCTATTTTATATTTTTCGCTTAATTACTATTGCCTGACAACTCTTTTAATGGTGGTCTGACAAACAGTTGCGTCAAGAATAAGAACGCCAGACTTGAATTTCTATATTCATCTGGTCAAAACGCCATCGAAAACTAAAAAATTATGTTTAAGTTATGTAGATCAAATTTGCAAAAAAAATAAAATACAAATTTTATTAAAAAAAAAAAAAAAAAATTGGACAAGTCATAGACTACCAGACCGATGGTTTGTTATTCATCTAATACCCAAAAAGTAATAAAATATATTTTTGTACTTGTACTGGATGACCACCTTTTTACGGCGGTCGCCGCTTGGACTAGTAGGTATTGGATTTTGTGAAATATATGTGTGTCTTCTTTTAAATCAATTTAATAAACTATGAACTGTAGATTTTGTTTATTTTATTTTGATATTATAAATATAAAAATATAACTATTCCGCGTGTTTTCTTGAGGAAGGTCTTTTAGTATTTTCAGTTGTTTTTGGTCAAAATTGGCAAAACACCTTTATTATGGCTAAATTGTTAGTTACAATTATGCCAATATAAGGATGTTTTTTCCATTTTAACCTACTCTGTGTATTCATATTTACATTTAATGAATGAATCATACTGTATTTGATTTTGAAAATATTGGTAATTACTTAAATAAGTAATTTCTAAAAATTCGTTTAAAATAGCCAGATTAGGTATCCAACCCTTAATACATAATTCTTTTTAATCCTAAAAGATTTGAAAATATAAACTTTGCAAATACTTATTTAAACTCTCAAACCAAATGTCTTTTTAATTGTTACTTAATTTTTTTTTGGTACCCGTAATTTTATTTACCTTATTTTTACTTAAGGAAAAGGTAATTTAATTTAAATATGGGGCTTTTATTACATTTTTAACAAAAAATAAACCAAATATCGAACAAATTTTATAGATAAATTATAAAATAAACGTCTTTTATTTTTATAACAAATAATGAATTATTACATAATGAATTATAGTTTGGTGCCGAAATCTCACCATTGCTGTTAACCCTAACTACTTCAATGTAATTAAATCACATTACAACATTTGCGCATGGCCTATAACAATGATTTCAGATAATTTGCCAAACTATTTCGCTCAGAGTAGAAAATAAGCATGTTTTCTCAGCGTATTAAGTTGTGTATTAATCAAAGTCATGCTGTGAAAAAGGTCCATCCGATATCAAAGGCACCGACAGCTACTGTCGCTTCTCCTTGATCGGTATTCTCGGGTCGAAACACCGCTGACGTATAGAGACACTCCACTTCGCGAATCTACCAGAAAAGCAATACTTGACCGTTGACACACCGTTGATTCATAGAGATGGATTTTATCGGGTGACATTCGAGAGCGTCTAGAAACTACTAGTACAGAATTGGTTTTGTATAAATAGCGCAATTTCGTCGACGGACGAGAAGTTTAGAATAAAGTATTGGACTGAAAAGATAAATTGTAATAAATAAATTAGAATTGTGAGTTAGTGCCTAAGTATTATATAAATTAATTAGTACGTCATAAATAAATTGTAAAAAGTGTATTTTAAATAAATAAACTATAACTAAATTAAAATATCGTTACAATATAATATGAAAATAACATATTTATGAATTTCAGGAAAGGTTGTTAGATTACCTACTACAATATTTCGATGTATTTCAATCATACCATGTATGTTGACTGAATAAACGTTCTGTATCGATTGTTTTAGGTGGTCCATTAAATAAAACGATTTGAAAAAAATTCATCATCTATTTAAATATTACTTTGTATTAAAATAAGTTTTGATTGTTAAACCTAATTATATAGATTATTATTACATCACAATATTTGTAAATTTCTAAAAAACAAATATAATCTAACTTAAATAGAAAATTTACTAAATATTCAACAGTTACAAATTTTTATAAACAAAATATGATGCTATGCATTCTAAAATTAATAAATTGTTTAATTACAGATTTCTTAAAATAATAGATTGTATAATCAATTATGTAAATGATATTATTAACTCATAATACCAAAACAAAAATTGTTTTTAAAATGTAGGTGTGGTGTTTATACAATCACAGCCTTTTTTTCTTTGATAGGAGCTAATCGTCTTGTTCTTCTCTACTCGTCAACAAAAGTCATCCAACTGTCGTATTTACCACTTCAAGAAAGTTTCTGAAAAATATTTTTTTTTAGATCTCATTACAATAAATTGCTACTAATTAAAGTAAAATAACTGATTAAATGATGGCTATACTAAAAAGTTTTAGATACAATGAAAATAATTTTATTTTAATTTATAGAGTTCTCCTTTGTGATCTGTCAAACCACTTGTGAAAGGCAACCGACCAAGATTCTTCCAAAATTTCACTATACTTCAGTACATAAAATTTACAAATTGACGTCATTTGAAAATAATGAAATAAAAATGTTAGGACTATTTTTTCTTTTCAATAAAATAATATAGGTCTTCTTTTACAAATTTCGTTCCCAATTTTTGATAAATTATAAACTAAAAATCCGACGATTGTCGAAGATCTATCTTATGTTGCCAAAATCCATCAGGATTATTGACGTTTTTTACAGATCCCTATACAAAAAGTGTTTATTAATAAAACGGTGTTTATATTTAATTTCGATTAAGTGGACTGTGTATTTATTATTATATCATAAAACTTTTATTACACATATTATTTACAAAGAGACGAGAAAGAAATAAAATACAACTCATAAAGATGCCATTCTCTTAACACTCTGCTCGCTTCTTCATCTTGCATTACTCCAAAATGCCTGCACATGTTAAGCTGCGCATAATGTACTTACTAACAACAAGTGCCGCCAGTGGTGTGCTAGAATATTCAACAAAGAGAAAGCCAGTTTTAGTACAAACTGAAAATGCGAAACATAGTGTCAGTGGAACAGGTAAATGGATATCAAGTTGTAGCAGTAACATTTCAAAAACGAATTTATCTCTAGGTGAATATACAATGACAAAAATATACTATTGATGCATCTGAGATGTTGTAAATCTTTCTCAAGATACGTAAATGTAGTCAGAGCAGATGTGTCCGATGTGGATAAACAAACGCTCGAAAGGTGAAAAATGCATTGGATGTGCATATTCAAAAGTTACATTAGATATGATTTTCCAACTTTAAAATTTGGAATGCAGTAAAAATCTTTTTGAATTTACAAAAATGTCAGTAAAAATGAATTGCAAAAAAAGCTGATGCGAAGTAAAAAGAAAGACGATCATATTGTTATTAAATATGCAATTTGCCAAAAACTACATTCATTTTAGTTTTGAATCGAAATTCCAACACTAAAAAAGTATGTGCGGATTGATAAAACGATTATAGTTTGCCAAAAAAATATCACGAAATATTTTGATCTGGAGTATGGTTTACAGACATGTAATAGTGGCATAAAATAAGTTATAAAATAGAGTGCGAATTATTAAAATACTAAAAAAATACATACAATGTGGAACAGCCAAATGGGATAAATTTGGTAATAAATAAATGGGGGAGTGTTCGGAAAAACGCTCGGACACGTTGATTGGTAGGCATTCTTTTAACAAAAACTTTTTATACAGGATATGTCATGTAAAAGTGGCCAATACCAACTTTCTTATTTTAAATGCAACACCCTGTATATTTTTCAATTTTTGGATTCTTCCGATTTATTGCAAAAATTAACATTTACAAAATAAAATTATAAAAATTCGCTACAACACAATACTAATTTCTCATTTAGGTCTTGTTAATGAGAAAATAAGCAAACACCATTTCAGCGTTCCTTTTTACTAATATAAAATAAAAAAAGCTATACTTAAATAGGTTTGTTCACTTTTGTTTAAAACGCCTGACCTTAGCAAATTGTTATCTGACTGCATGACAATAGTTGTCAGTGTTATAGTCGTTTGAATTTCCTTAGTTGCATATCAGAAAAATGGTTAATTTAACAGAAATGCACAAAATAACAATTCTACAGATGATTGGTTTTGAAGATAACACTGGGAGACAAATAAAAGTTGCTCGCTTATATCATGAAAAATTTCCAAATTTGCCGCGTATATCCCAAGGGACAATTAGTAAACTAAAGAAGCAGTTTCGCGAGCTTGGACATGCAAGGCACATAAAAAACAGCTGTCAGTACAATAACTAATGATATCAAATTGGATATTAAGCTTGAGTTTCAGGAAAACCCACATACTTCCAGTCGACAAGCAGCCTTAATGTCCGATATTAGCCATTCATCGATTATTGGAACATTAAAAGAAAATAAAATGCATCCCTATAAAATAATAGTATCTCAGGAGCTCATGGAAGACGATTTTGATATGAGAACGCAGTTTTGTGAACAAATAATGGCAATGTTAGATAATGTGATCCAATTAGAACATGTTTTGTTTTCTGATGAGTGTACCTTTACATTTCACGGTCATGCTAATCGTCAAAATTGTCGTTATTGGTCTAGGGAAAATTCTTATTGGATGAGAGAACATACGCAATACCATGAAAAGGTTAATGTTAATAGAAAGGCAGGAATTGTTGCCGATCATATCATAGGTCCCTTTTTCATTGATGGCAATTTGAATGGCGATAATTATTTAACACTGCTCCAAAATAATATCATGCCAACTTTAACGAACTTATATCCCGATCCAGCAAACCAACAAGTTCCAGCGAATATAATGTGGTTTCAGCAAGATGGAACACCGCCCCATTACCAATATATTACAAATATATGACAGGTGGGCTCTCAAATGAGTGTGTATGCCTATAGAAATGTGCGACTTCTTGATACTAATTTTATTTAAGGGTTTGTTTTGGTGTTCAAACAGGTCCATCGATTCCAATTCTCAAATACAGTGGACGAATTAATTTTTCAAGAAAACGTCGCGAAGTTATAACAACCTCTTAGCTGATCGAGTGTAATTCAGTTATTCTGAACTAGTTTCCAAAAGAACCAAAACCAGCCTAAAGTTATCTAACAGATATTTGTGTTACCACGCGATAAGTATAGCGTTTAAAAGGTTGCCAAGTTATAATCATTGTACCCCACTACACATCGTTTTCGAGGTATCTTGAAATAAATACATTGCTTGTATACATGACAAGCTTCAAGAGTGTTAATTATGCACATTTTGATTGTTAATGTCTCGTTTCACTGACGGTCAAAAAATTTCATTTTTTTTTTTTTAGTTTAGTTATATTTCAATTTTATTAAATGCTTAAGAAAAGCCATTTTACGAATGAACTACCTTAATTGAATATCGGTGTAAACTAAATTAATGGGCTATAATAGACGAGTTTTTAAGTTGATTAATTTCACATGACGTAATAAATTGGTTACTGATGGAACGATTTATGCTGAGCAAAAGAATAGCACTTAGACCTCTCATTTATTAATTTTATGGTTCGATCTCAGATTCGGTGCCGAATTGAATTTAAAAAATTGGAAAAATAATGGAAAAACGTTTACATATTAGTTTTGCTGCATTAATTGCCTCTAGAAGTAAAGAGAATAGTACTTCCTCCAGCAGCTCTGATGATGAAGTTTAAATTTTTAATAGAGTAAAAAGTTTAAACTATGTGGAAAATATAGCTTTAAAATATGATAACATAAACTTTAGGTCCCACTATTGTAGAAGTGCATAATATAAAACTCTATGAAGCGGGCTGTCCGAAAAGCACCCATTTTGACGTGCTGAAGGGAAATTCCTTGGAGGATGCACAATGGGCCTAGTGAAGCATAAGTGATGTAGAGGCTTCCCACCGTCTTCTACCTTACCGATACAGAAAGGCATAATACAATAATTTCAACTTTCTTTCTAATTTAAAATTTTCTTCACATTACTTTTTGATCATTTTCAAAATTTTTCACCGCCTTGGAATAACGATGACTAGGTGAAAACCACCAATAATAAATAAACGTGAATCGAATGTTTTTTTAATCTAAAATAATTATGGATAAACTATTGTTATTAAAGACATGAAACAGAAAAAATCTTCACTGTCTTCTTAACTGATTATTAAGCCTGTATGGCAAAAAACAGGTAAGAAAACTTTTTTTAATGATTTTTCAGACTAGAGATTTCGAAATAAACTTATAGAAAGCAGCATATTTTTGTATGTTAAACATTTCGGAATATACCTCGTAAAATCATTAGGTACTTACTTAACATAGAGATTCATGTAAGTGTCATCATAAATGCCGACGTGTCCACGTTCCTCTTTCTTCGCAAATTCGTGATAAATCGTTGTTGATATATTTCTTGCAGAAGCTATTTCATACAACTAAAACATGACATTTTAAAGTTTATCAGCCGGTTGCAAGAACGTGCATTAAAATATTATGAGCCATGTAAACTTTAACGGAGCTTGAGAGTGTTAATTTGTTTAAATGACATAAACGTCAAATTTCTCTAAACATCTGTCAAATTTTATCAGGCTCGTATATTTTATTAAATAATTCGTATGTCTTTTAAAGATTTAGGAATCATAATTACTGTTAAACCTTAATAACAATAAGCCCGATTTGTATACCAATACATTTTAATAGTATTGACATGCTCTAATTCATAAGTCCCTCTCTGCCGTATTTGGGCCTTTCACGACCCCAACTTTCCCGTTACCAAGAATATTCGATAAAATAAGTCAGCCTCCGAAACCCCCTATGAGTCGCCCATGCTCGACATCAGTCGAAGTGAACCATTCATTCTAGATTATACTGTTCACTTCGAGATATTACGAGGATAGACGTTTCATAGGAGTTTGACTTCTTTTTAAGGCCCTAATAAGGCAGAGAGGGACCAAATGGATTAGAGCAGGATCCAAGTGGTCGAAAATGGCTCAAATGACTGTATAGTAAAGCAGGGACAAAAGTTTGAAAAGGCGTTTGATAGGTGGAAAGGTAGTAAACGTCAAACCCCGTCGGACGGCTTCGAGAACTTCGCGGTAATGTTTATCAGCCAGTGTCATATCATAGAACAAGTAATTTTCAAAAGGTTACCAGCAAAACCGGGCAATCGTATGTATTTAAGGGCTATAAATAATTATTTAAACAAGTATTATAATAGTTCAAATCGTAATTCTACAAAATTTCCACAGCTACTCCCAATGTATTAAACTATTTACATGAAATTGTTATTAGCATCTATAAAATAATTTTCTAAGCCAATGTATCGAGTTCACTTCGGTTAGCTCCGCGGCAAAACTGTCAATGCCTGTGCATGAAATTGGAGAACTGCGAAACATCCTTTCCAACTTCCGTCCCTTCTATACAATGCAACAATCGAGCAATAGCCCCTCGAGATGAGTACAAGAGGAAAAGAGAATGACCAGATAGATTAAAAATCTTGTTAGAAATGTTTACTTTTGCAAATTTGCTTGTCATATTGTATAAATCAAGATACTAAAGTGCATCTTTTAAAGCTGAGGGTGAAGATGCTGCCTTGCTAAGGCAAGAGGTAGTATCTATGAAAATTCCGATTTAGATATTTTTACACATTTTGTAAGCTTACATTATATTTTATATATTATTATACTAAGTTAGAAAGACCTATCTACATTAGAAATTCTTTTAAATTATTAATATAAATAGAAATAGAATTTATTCATCTTTCAGAATTATACACTATAAATACAAAGACACATAATGTACAATCCTATCAGACTAGTCAAAAAAAGTGTAAAGTAAAATATGTTAAAAATAGTTTAAAAGTTGAAAATATCTTCTATATTATAAAATACATTATTTACAAGAAAATCATGAAGATGTTCCTTTATATAATAAACTCATTGTAACACTTATGCGACCTCTTGTCTTAGCAGGATTGTTGTCTGAGCGTTAGCAAGAAGAGAGTAAATTAAGCTTATATTTTACATTTTATTCCATTTTACCTTTCGTCCAAATTTAACAGGTATCTCATCATCGTCTTCGGCATGTAAAATCATCATGGGGCACGTTATTGTCGAAATGTGTTTATCAGTTTCAAATAAGAAGCCGTTTTTTGTTAAGGGGTCTACTACTGTTGCTGTAAACCAAGGTACCCAAGATAACAGCTGAAAATTGGAATAATTGAACAACCGCTGTTCCGGTAAAACAATGACGCAAGTGCAAAATTATGACATTTTGATTTTAACATGTCATTAGTTTCCAAATTAGTCTCTCTATACTGTATAACAACGGCGTAATTTTATATCACCTCGCGGCTGCTAGATGGTAGTTGCGACAGTTTTAAAATATTAAAGTTTGCCCCTCCACTTTTGGAAAACAATGACACATGAATCAGTTGTCTGCAACTTCAAGGGAGACGTTACTTACTCAATGGTTAAATGTCGTATTTGCTATTTAGGACAAGTTTTCTTTGTGATTTATGTGCCCAAATTTGGAAGTAATAATATTCGTTTTTTGTATCTCCTGAAAAATTTATAATTTTGCATTTGCGTCATTGTTTTACCGGAACGGCGAATATGGAAAATCCCTATTACATTAAAAAATATTTATAAAAGATAACATACATTAACTTTAAATTAAAAAAAAACATTCAAATGACAAGTATTAAGTAATACAAGAAATAAATAATAAAAAAAAATCAATAAAAATCACAAGAATGATAAAAATATTCAATATACCAAGATAATCTATTTCTTGTGGCCTTTCTGAAGGTATTGAAAGACATCCAGAATATACAAATTCAACGAATTCGCACTTCTAAATAAGCCGTAATTAGTGTGTGTGAAATGGAATGAAGAATAAATAATTTTAACGAGTATATAATAATAATAATAATAATAATAACGTTTATTTGTAGAATGATACTGATAAATAAAAAAATTACATATTATACATTAAAATAAAATCATGCTACAAAAAAGAGACAGCAGACCTGATACAAAGTGCCACCCCTTTAATATCTTACTGGTACTCTAAATTGAATGGATTTTAAGTTCGCAACAATGAATAGTTAATGAAATTGTTGCAATAAAATTAATCTACATTAATTCTAGACATCCAAGATCCCATAAGATTAATAATAACATCGACGGTGTCATAAAAAAGGCGTAAGAGCCAAAAAATAAAATACATTTCTTTACTACATAGTTAAAGGTATTATCAATATCTATCGTGTAATTTAGTGATTGTAAGAGACAATTTCATTCACATAAAAAGTGGGCTTAAACTAAGCATCATTCTTTCATGAAGAGAGGTTGTCATTACACCCAATGCCGAAATATACAAAAATTTTAGAAAACTGTTCTTTATAACTTTTATTTAAAATGAATTTTATGGCATGCGTATAAATTGGTTATCTGATTTAACCTACCTCAATTTCTAAGAAAAACGCTTGCATTCGTTTGTGTCGCGTGGAAAAATCGAATAATCGTAAAATCGAAAAAGAAATTCTGTAATGAAAATAAACCTAACACCCCCCCACTCCGACCGGCACAGCGGTGCGGCGTTGAAAGTCATGCATCGTCTAACGTCTTTTCAGTTCGGCACGGTGTTTGTGTGCGTGCGACTAGACGTATGCGTGTAGACTAGCTGCTAACTGCTCATAACTGATTCTATCTCTTTTAGACACAATTTCGGAAATATTGAATTTGAAAATGAATAATGATCCACAAGAATGCACAACAAAATATGGGACCATCATTGACGCGGTATTTTCCAGATATTTAGAGGATATCAAGTCTCAACCTTATGTTTCTTATTTCAGTTACCATAAACCTATAGTTTCAATAATAAAAATTCCTGAATAACCTACATGTATTGTAAGATAATAAAAATATTTAAAAAAATATTAACTTCTCATTTATTCAATAATAGAAAAAAATTTGTCAATACGCTCAAAAAGTGTAACTTGAATTAATATCAAAGAAGAAAAAAATACTGCATAAAAAAAATAAATAATTATAATTGCATAATTGCAATAGCTTTACCGCGGCAGTCCCCGAGCGCAACATGTATTTTTTATTGGAAAATTATACGTTCATACTCAATAAGTCAGTGGCAACTTAATCAACTGAGATATCAGTGATATTAATTATGGATAAAAATTATTATTTATTGGTATTTTTCCAAATAAACAAGATTATTATTGTTATACACTATTTCACAAGGACACTATTAGAATCTTGTAAAGTAGAAGATATAGAGATGAGGTTAAATAGGACAAAGTCGTATATATTTAGGAGACAAATAATAATATTAGAAATAAATTTAAAAAATTAGAATTTTTTATTCTATTCATAGCAAACTTTAATTAAGTACCTTCAGTTTTTAATAAAGATTTTGTCTACAGCCTAATATTGTTCTGATTCAAAGCATATTTTTTGGTTGCTATTTATATAAAAGGTGAATCTGACAAAAAAAAAAAATTGAAAAAATATGGAAATTGAAATTAATTTAAATCTTCCAGAAAAATATATGTCTAATAATATGACTAATATTTGGTAAAATAGTATCAAAGCTATTTGGAAATGTAACAAACAAACAAAAAACAATATTTTTACCTTTGTTAGAGGATGAACATAGAGTTCATCATGAAGATTGGTAAAAGCAGATTCCAAAACAAGTCCTTTTGTTTTAATTTTATATTCATTCTCAAATTTTGCAACAGTATCAGCCGCTATTGCTGCTCCAAGAGAATGACCCCAAACATAAACGTCTGAGGTAGTTTTATTTCTGACCCACTTGTATAATTCAATGCAATCATTTACAACATTTTCTTCTGAAATCTCTCCAGAGGAAGAGTCTCCATAACCTTAAAATAAATAGTAAATCCTGATAAAGGCGCCAATGTTGGATATACAATGCTTGGCAGGTGATAACTCTTACAAACTGATAAAAAAAAAGTAGGAACATATACCCTTAAGTGCCTAATTTTCAAGATGCAAGGTATTAAAATTCAAAAATAACTATTGTTAAAATCGCTACATAATTTTTTTTAAAAGTCTCAAATTTTGATCACTTTTTCTTCAGTGGTATACTACAGTTGAATGTGGTACCTTTACTAACATTACTTTAGTGAGCTTTTTCCTCAGCTTTTTCTTTTTAATCATACTTATATTAAATTATGGGTATAAAATAAAGGCAAAAACCTGTATTGAATATTCGAAGAAGAAAAAATACAAGGTAATGTCTGGTGTATGTAGATATTGATTTTAAGTATCAAAATATAATATGTTTATTCAGATACGTATTACAAGTACAAGATAAATAAGTATATGAATTTGTATATACCTAACATAAACTACAATAATTAAAAATGTATACTATGTATTGTAAAAGCGAATAAACAGGTTACTCCCTTGAAACCTAAAAAGGTTGTTGGGATTTTATTAATTTTAAGGAAAAAAGCAGGTTACATAACTTTGAAAAGGTAAGTATATAACTAATAATAAAGATAGTGAATGAAAGTCAACAAAAAGTTAAATAAGAACTGCTTTCATGTCTCTGTAAGTTCCTTGATTATATTTATATCAATAGTTAGTGCATATATTTAAAAGTAACGCTTGAAGAGCGTGAACGAGTTCAAAGTAAATATGCATATTTTGTTTAACTCTGGTAACTGATTGTAGGTATATTTGGACTGATTTGTATGAGTAGCAACCTCTGACCAACTCATTTATTCATTATTGTAATTAAATAAGATTTTACTTGAACTTTGATAAGAATTTATAAACCTTGAAGATTTCCTGTGTAATAGATAACATACAGGAAACATTACAAAAGTGTGATAGGATATCAAAAAAATTAATTTTCTTAAATAATAATTATACATCAAAGTTAATAAAACTTACCTCTATAATCAAAGGCTATTACATGGAAAAAAGGAGTGAATATTCTATATTTATATCTATTATCTGCTCTGTCTTCACCTGTACCATGAAAATATATTAAGACACTGTATTGACTATGTAATAAAGCTTGATCAAAATCAACAGGCTTATCATAAATAGTTTTGTATGCTAGATCATCTGGGAGAATGTGCCACAGTCCTAGAGTCTCTTCTTGGTTATTTCTTGTATTTTCCAAAGTTACATATCTATTTTTGTAGGCAGGCAAACGTTGGGTTTTGAAGTATTTCTCTTCATTATGCAAACCAACTATAAAGTATGCATGTGTTATACATTATAATAAATAAAAAAATATTTGTACTTACAGCGGGTAAAAATTAACGCCGATTGTAACGTTTTGGAATTCATAAAAATCAACGGCAGTACGACATATGTTACGATGAAGAAGATAAAGAACAATATGCACAATCTAAAACCCAAAGGAAAAATAATTTCATTTACTATAGCAATTAAATAATTTTTCATTGAAATTTTGAAAGAAAATTAACAATATTTGATCAAATTACATTGTTATTGTATAACAAATACATCTTGAACGTTTCTCCTGTGGTATAGGTAAATCAAAGTCGACTTCTCCCATTTCATTGTCATTTATCAAATAATAGTCATGGTATCGTCTGTGTTTATTCTGTTTGCTGCTGCTCATCTTGGAATTAAAATATAATTAATCACATTTTTTTTACAGAATTACAATATGATTAGATAAATGAAATAAACGATTATAATCAAATTTATTTCAGTCAAAACAAGTAAACAGAACAGGAACGAAGAGACACAATAAACAGTAAAATAAACCACCTGAAAACACGTAAACACTAAACAAGAAGATAAAAGACAATAAACATATCAAATAAACATAAACACAACTGACAAGAATCGAATAATCGAATCAGAAATACGAAATATTTCCTATTTCCCCTCCTATTCAGTGTTCAGCGGTGTTGCCAGTACTCACAGACCAGTACTGTCAGTCTGTCAATAAAAATGTACTGAAAGTTTTAATGAAAAGGTAGTAGATTTACAAAAACGTACTAGATTCTTACGCGATGGGGGCAATGAACGCAATGAACTGGAGTAGGGTAGAATGTGCAAATTAGGTTCTTTCGTTCCACAGATTTGGATAGAGGAGATAGGAAAAAGCCATTTTCCCCGGTGTTTCAAAATAAGCATATTATGTAGGCCGCCATGTTTGCAATTTAAACGCACATGCGCAGTTGCTGTAATGTTTCAAAAGATCGCTATTTTAGTGAATTTAAAAGAATTTTAGAAGTTTTACTATAGACAATTAATAAAATAGGAAATACGTGCTTTGTTTTTGGTCGTTTAAACAACGGGGATTCAGAAAACATTACATTCCACAAGTAAGACATCTTTTCTACCAGAACCGTATTCTTTAGACATTTTTTAGACTAATTTCATTTTCTAGAAAACGAAATATCGTAGTAGAATAACAAACTGTATGTATGTTATTGGCAACCAGGGTTGCCAATTTAGCGATTTTGGAGCTAGATCTAGCGATTTCAGAAGGTCTGTTGCGAGTTCGAATTTGAATTTGAGACGTGTCTCAATCCTAGCGTTTTCTAGCAATTATCTGGCGACTTTTACATATCAGGAATGATGATGATGATGATATTAATAATGGGCCTAGGAGGTAGGCCATATTCTAGCAATGAAAAAGGAGATGGTTGTGCAATCGAACATAAAAGTAAACGTCAATAATTTGAAAACCGTTAGGATTCATAGTTAGGATAGCAACCAAAATGATACGTCATTAAAACGATTAATTTTCATTTAATTCAACATTCAATCTGGGATAAATACTTATGTTAAATAATAAGAATATTAACCAACTTTATTATTCGAATAGAAATTATTTTGTTTTAGAAGATTTGTATTTTTGTTTTGTTAGATTTTATTAAAAAATATGCATGTGTATTAAATAAATATGCATGTTATATATTTCTTAAACAAGTTCCTATATATTTTTCACCTAACTTTATTATGATTTAAAAAAAAATAGTAAAATTTCCTTTTTTTTATCCAAGTGATTCTTTCGTAGTTACGCGCAAAAGTCGCCAGATTTTCAAAAACCAAACTAAAAAACAGCCTCTTTATGTGACCCGATTGTCATTAGTGTCAATTTTATTTTGTTAAGTTGGTTGCACGTGTGGATTGTATTTTTTGACAGGATCGGTATTTAAATTATCTGTCATGTTTAAATGTATTTTATTTTAAACAAATATATTAGACAAAAAAATGCAAACGTTTGGCTAGCATTTACAAATTATATAAATAAAAACAGATTCAAATATACTAAGATTTTAGAATATACTATAGGAATTAGACCTTTCAGCTTAAGGAGGTCCTTTCGCCACCAATGTTAAATAAAAAATATTAGACTAAAATTAATTTTTTTCTAATAGTAGAAGTCTTTATTTATCTAATAGTGAACTTTTAACTATACCTTACCGTGCAAATTTTTGAGAATTTTTGAGTGTTTGTACAGTTTCTTACGAGAAATTAAGACTTCAACAACAATTTTCGAATTATAATTAATTTTACTATTAGGCATTCCAAACTAAATGGTTACCAGTGGGTTTTGACAGGTTATGATATGGCAAAATTATGGCAACCCTGTAGGCCTGGTAATTTGACAAGGTCAATGAAATAGATAGTTACATAGATTGATCATCCATATTTTTCAAAATAAACATAAGCGTATGCCTTGAAGTAAAAATGTAAGCAATTATTTTTTTTGATATCCAAAGGCTGAAAATTGGTTTTAAAACACATTTTTGCTAAACCGATTCAAATTAATAAATATTTGCCAGGCCGCTCGCAAACGACCAGATTTAAGCAATCTATGTAACTATATATGTATCATTGACCCTGTTAATGACAACATGACAACAGGGTTGTCATATCTAAACTGTCAGTCCTCACCGTGGTCCTCACTAGTAGCCATTTGGACAGCTCACTGGAATCGGAATGCCTAATTGAAATATCATTTTACAGGATAGCTATTCACTAAGTCATGGGAGCGCTCCCATGGGAGTGCTCCCATATATTTTGCTCTCTTACTCTTACGCCCGTATGCACCGTACACGTTTAATCCAGATCAAGGGTTTAATCGCGTTTAGTACCATATTCACCTATGGTACTAAACGCGATTAAACACTTGATCTGGATTAAACGTGTACGGTGCATACGGGCGTTAGATGGGTATATCGTGCTTACTCACTTTTAGCCCTGGTACATGCGTAGTAAGGTCAGATTTTATACCATGCGAGGGAGAATTGCGGGCTTGCCAGATTTAGGTCCGTATTTATCACAAAGGAAATTTGAACTATTTAGGACCGATTCCACTGTTGTGTTAAACGAAGTTTAAAATGACATTTTTACATTAACAATGTCACTTTAATCTCCGTTTAACACAACGGTGGAATCGGCTCTTAAATAGTAGATCAAAGTTATTCTGTCGACTTGGCAACGTTGGCATGGGAGTATGGGAGTTCTCCCATGAGTTAGAGAATAGGTATCCAGGTAGTTGTGCAACCAATAATGCATGGAATATGGACAATATTGTTATGTCACAGTGATTTTGTCACTGATATAATAATTACAGTAGTAATTCATGACATTTGAAGTCGTGACAAGACAAAATGTTATGCTGGAAAACGAAAAAATTCGAGTTAAATTATAAATGCCCTTTATTTCCTTGTGAAAATAGATTATGCTATTCGAGGCATAAGAGAACAAGTATTAGAAATTAAAAATTTAAAAAAACCTACTTCAAAAACGTGCAGATGCTACCACATCTTAACCAAATTTATATGGGACCACCCATGAGGTACCCCCTTACTAACAAAAAAAGAATCATATAAATCGGACAAGGTGGTAAAGCATTAGCGCTAAACATACATAAAAAATGAAGAGTTTGTGGATTTTCTCATGGACCCAATTATTAGAGATTTTGACCAAATTTATATGGGACTACCCCTGAAGTACCCCCTTTCTAACAAAAAAAAAAGAATCATTAAAATCGGACACCATGTTAAAGAATTATCGCTGAGAAGCTGAACATACATAAAAAAAAATATCGCGACGAATTGAGAACCTCCTCCTTTTTTGAAGTCGGTTAAAAAACGAAAACTGTTTCGCAAGTTACAAATGTCACTTGTTATTTCAAACTGTCCCCAATCGCTCCAAGTCACATACTTTGATTTTTAAAGTATGTGCTCCAAGTTGGAAGAATATACAGTGTGTGCGATAAAGTTGGATCCATATGGGATTTTTTTTTTAATAATACGATTTAAAAAAAAAAACGTCGTAGGGCAATCAAATACAACAATTTTCTGAAATATTTGATTGGAAGTACCTACCTACAAAAAAATGATGGTGAATCATTTTTTAACCAAACACAATTTTATAAATAATCAAGTCAAAATTAGAAAAAATGCCGTTTTGTGTAACTCGTTCATTTGGCGGGATCTCGCTTCGCTCCTGCCGAAAATATTTATTCGTTACACAAAATAGGGCATTTCGTAACTGGTTACATAAATATAACTATTATATACCTTCATCTTTATTTTAGCACTGATTAAAATTACCTGTGAGACCAACGTTGAACATAATATACGTTTGTGAAAATCAAAACTCCTAATTAGTTAATGATGCAGCATCGTCTTAAAACGACTGAATACGCATGCTCAGTAGTGCAGCAACGAGCTGCTTGTTGGTGCCAAAAGTAAATTACGATATTGGCGATATACTGGATGTATACAATGTGTCCCCGGATAGGGATGAAACGACTCTTGAAAATTGTACAAAAGTTTGGATTTAAATTTGGATTCAATATTTATAAATCAAATATGTCTTGTCCAAAAATCTAGTTTTTCTCTAAAGTACATTTTATGTTGTAGATATGTCCAACATTTATTAAGAAAACTTGTTTAGGATCAGCATCTAGTCCATATACCAAATTTGAAAATTCTCAACTTACCATGATTTTTTATAACACTATAACAATATAACAACAGCAATGTAAATTTTCTCTCGGTATACAGATGCCCACAAACCAAAACTAATACTGAAGATAGGCACAATTTATTCTCACAAATTAACCAACTTTACATTATTGGAGGCGATATGAATGGGCATAATTCCTCCTCCTCCTCCTCCTAATTAATTCCAGTAATTTTCATAAATGTTTTTAAAGATGAGGAAACATTTTATTTATATATGTTATTTTGGATCAAATTAGTTTAATTTTTAGGCTTCTCTTGCAAGTGGATCTAATTGGTCAAGAGAGCAATTAAAGATCATTCCAGAACAAAATACTCCCCTGAATTAAGAGCGTTTGTACAACTTTAAGCTTCTACAGTATGAAGGCTTATACATGTGAGCGAAAAATTTAACAGTTATCTCCCACATCCCAGTACTTTATCAAAGTAGTATTAGGCTGTTGATGGTTCTCCTGGATTCTGTTTGTTACAAAAATATTTTGAAAAATCCTTTAGGTTGTGTTCGTTGTACAAAGTACTTTTAAATTATCTCAGAAAATTAACTGATGCCTAAATCTGCTGTGAGAGTGATAAAATAGGAATGATTTTTCAAAGCTTCTTTGGGTGAAGACGGTAAGGGGACTTCTTAAGTCAATCCCTATCTGATATTGGACTAATGATTTCGTTGTTTCGTGGTGTGATATCGGGTGATATAATTTTCTGTGCATACCAAACACTTGCAAAGAATGGCGACAAGAAACCTGGGTATTTATTTTCTATTGCCTTTTGTATAAACTGGCACGAAATAATTGACTACGTGACAAACTGACTGCGTTGCTTTTTTTTGCAATTTTGTCCAGTATCGTAGCGAGGTTATTTTGTTACAGTTAAGTTTGTTTTTGACAGCCATCGTGCATGATGATGTCATTACCTCAGAGTCATTACAGAATCTGGACTAAGTGCAAACTATGTGCTGAGCAAACTATAATTTAGGGCCGTGATAAAATTGGAGAGTAAAATAAATGTTTCAAGTACCTCATCACAAAATTAATAATTTATAATATTTCGAAACTTCATCCGGATATTCAAGAAATGAAGAATGTAGATGAATAATTATAATTAGGGAAACATTGCAGAAATTACGTAAGATTTTTAAAATAGGTTACATTATTGCTTGCAGAGCAACAAAGTGTTCTCAAAACAATTGTATTCTATTTAAAACAACTATACAAAGTATGTCACAGCTCAACATACACAAATATGAACTCAATAAAATAAATATATAAAAAATGAACTTACTAACTCAAATAGTTGATGTCACAACCTTTGGATAAACATTAAAACCGTGATTCAAAATACAAAAAAGATCTCAGCCTTCGCAACCAACTAGAAGGGTCCCCACGTATGTCCCAGATTATATTTTTATATCACTTAAGAGTTTAGTAATTTCTTAACCTTATACATAATCGTGACTTAAAACGAACCCACGTTTAAATTTAACAATATTTATTTACAAGGTGTTACTTTAATTATGAATTAATTTGAAAATATCACATTAATTACAAAAAAAATTGAGAAAATAAATGTTATGTTAAATAGCTGGATTGAAGTTTTCTTAGGCTTTAATTTGATGTATCACAAGATAGAAGTTGCCATTGACATTTTCAAGAACGGAAGTGAAACTTAGAAATCAGTGAATGTTTTCAAACGTTTCCTTGATATAAAATTTTCCGTGTTTTTGTTTTTCTTAAATTTACGTAAAATCAAAAATTATTTGGACTGTCAAGTTTTGAAATAAATACATTTGTTTATTTAAAAGAATATATCGGATCTAATTGCAGGTTTCCTAATCAATGGGTACCAAATTATTGAGAAAAAAAACACTATTTAGTAAACACTTAATTTTATTGTTTCATATATTACATAAACATTATAAAGGAGAACCGATAAAATATAGATACAAAATAATTAAATATAATTAACTAAATCTCTTAAATACAAAGCAAACTCTCATTCAAATTGAAATTTGCACTTCAAACTCCATATTTTAAGTCCCAAATTCGAAAATCGCTGAACAACCAAAAAAAAAAACGCTAAATAAAATGTGAAATAAGAATAAAATATTATACAGTGTGACCTCAAAAATTTCACAAAATATCTAGACCGTCTGGAATTTATTTTTATTAATAGAAGCAAATTTATGGTGAGATGAAAATGTGGCACTCGAATGTTTTAAATGTCTTGCAAAATTATTGCACACACCCTGTATAAAGCTTTGTTCGCTACCTAAAGGCTCCCCATTTTTTAAACAATGACAAAGTTTAATATTGATTGATGAAAAAGAATTTTTGACAGCTCTCGTGGCCAAAATTTCAATGGTTGTTTATTTATAAATTGAAATGTTAGATTTTCAGTCGTTATTTATTTTATATTATTTTATGTAAATAAAAAATGTATAACCATATGGTAGAAGAAAATTCCCCATTTCAAGCCAGAATATTTTAGATTTCAATCGGAATTTCTAAAGTATATGTCAGAGTTTCCAGAATATACAACATAATTTCCAAAATTTAATTCGAAATTTCCAACACATAGATTATTCAAAATTCAGTTAGATCAAATTTTTGATCTTGTGGCTAGGAACTAAATTTTTCTGTTACCTAAAAGTTAGAATTTATTTGTCTAAATACCAACAAGATATATATTTTCAAATTACAAGCCGAAATATTTAGAACTGTATATTATATATTTATTAATAAACATTAGATAAAAATGTTTACCATACTCGTTAACAAAAGCATGATTTGTTATTAGGAACACCTAACCAGGGTGTTCAGGAAAATAATACGTTCCTTACAGGTAGTGTTGTAATTTTTTTTTAGTAAAATCGGCCTTCATTTCTACAAATTAAATGTAATTTAAATAAAATCTAACAACATTACACCTAATGTCAACAGAAAAATATAAAGAGTGATCCACAAAAAATGTTTCTAAAGTAGGCCATGACTAACAAAGATAAATATACAAGTCATGTCCGTGATAACTTCGAACGCATCTATATTAAATCCAAACTGTCATTTAAAAAAAAAAGAAGAATTATTGTACCATTTAACATACGTCAATCGAAGGTTCTATTTCATTTCGTTTGAATACCATTAATTAATATATTTGAAAAAAATTCTTAGATTTTATAGAATAACGCGATTTCGAAACAGATTTGCCGGCAGTTTATATAATAAATACTATACAGAGTGATTCATAATTTTTAATGGTGTAGAAGTCATTAAAATAAACATTTTCAATTATTTTAAAAACAAAATTAAAAACAAAAAAAAAGCAGATAAAAGATCTCAAGAATTTAGGTCTGGTGAACTCAATGGGCATGCAACTGATCCACCTATTCAGGAAAGTAATGTCTTTCTCACAGGCCCGGATTTGGAGTTTGTTAATAATACTGTAACCTCTTGCTTTCTTGCGTGGCCACCGAGGTCCCCAGACCTAAATTCTTATGATTTTTTTGTTTTGTTTCTTGTTTTTGATTTTTTAAGATTCACTGTTAAAAAATAAGTATCAACTTGGAATCACCCTGTATATATTTGTACGTGAAAAGAACGCATTCATTTCGCAGACACCCTGTATATATTTCGTCTAAGTACTAGGATTTTTTTATTACGAGTTATTTAATAGGAGTACCAGTCAATTAAGCAACATAAAATTTAATATTTGCTTCTCAGTTTCGATACATGGACAATTTGCATCAATCACAAAGTATTAACCCCTCAAAAACATATTGAATCAACTTATGAACAAATACAAATTGTGAATATTGCTCTAAATTACTTATTATTCAGTCTTAATTTGAAAAACGCTTCATAGTTATGTCAAAAATTTTCTTTTTCGTCAAAACAATATGAAACAAAAGGCACCCACCTATTTGATACTTAAGCCAGCAACGAGACGTTTGAGTACAAATTTCTTAGTGTTCAATTTCACCTGCGTTTACAGTCGCATCAACATTTGTGCTAACTCAACAAATTCCTTATTTCCTTGTGCATGTGACATAAGAAGTCGACGTAACTAGCCGAACCGTCGTTTCCTCGATCTTCGATTAAGAAATGCTTGAAGACTGGTTCTAACTTTTCTCTCTGCCTAACTATCGTCAACTGAAATTGAAAAAAATAATTCAATTTTCATATTCACATAAAACTAAAATTGTAAAAAAACCATGAACAAACGGATGGGACTCTCAATTTTAAATTTATATTTTAATGGGGACGTTTATTGAAACTTTTTTCACTATACTTGACGCGCCGAAGAGATGAAGCAATAAAACTAGGTGATCAACATGTTTTGAGTGCTTTGCCCTCGAAACCTCCTTTGACCAGGTTACAGGCCAGGAGCAGGTTTTTGTAGATTATTGTGGAAGATGAACCTTGCATATTTGTAATTATTTTAACATCAATAATAATAGATGTAGGGAATCTACAAGACGCATTAATCACATAGGTCTTTGTCGAAGAAAGTAAATTCAAATAATAAAAACCGAGAATGGCAAATGGTCCCACAGAAAACACTTTGAACTGATTAACAAAAACACTGTTTTTATAATTACGAAATAAGTACATTTTGTTTATATTAAAAACAGCTGACCTCATATTCTGACATTTGAATATGTTGCTCTATATGGCCCAAATATTTATGTTTACCAATTATTAAAATTTGAATATTTTATGGGATAGGAGATTTTGTTAAAATAAAAAATAATTATGTTGGCTATTATACAAAATGTTATGTCAAAATTATTTTTTTATTATTTCACTCCATGCATTCATTTTATTGACTACAAACTGTCCATTTCTTTTTGACCATTCATCCGGTCCTGCAAATTTGTCACACACGCATTTTTTACATAGACATTTTGCACGAACGGCAACCATATATACATATATACAAATTTCAGAAATGAAAAAAAAAAGTTGGGAATTTCCCATTGAATTAAAACGAAGATGCTTTTTTCATACTAATTATTTTTTCTACACCTACATGGTTATTAACTTATTTGCGCACAGATTACAAAATTAAAAAGTATGCTATTGCGTTCAACTGAACGAATATATTTCATATCCATTCTAGATAGTGAGGACACTGCAAAAAAAATAAAATGAAATCTACCCTAATCACAGTTCATATTTTGGTTACTCAACTACTATTATTTTTAAAATTTTAAATGTGACAATTCTTTCAGTATATTTTTTAGTTAATGAGATTAAATATACATTAAAATAAATTATTTTTTGTGTAGAATCGATAAATAATAGCATTTTTATCTCGTTCACATTTGGAAATAAATCTTAAATTTTTATCAAACTATATGAAACAAATTTAATTACGAGAGGTAAAAAACATAAAAACTCAAAAGTAAGTTTGATATATACTCATAGACAAAATTATCGAATATTTTCTCATTTAAACATGTACAAAAAATATTCGATAATGTTCTCCATCAGTATATTATTTTTAAAAATTTGACACATTCGTAACCATTTGTAATTATTCTATTGGCTGCATATGAGCGCGAATAATAAACAATTATAGTATTTTAATAACAATTTGCTTTTAAATAAATTACTAAGTACACTTATTATATAAATAAATCAAGGTGTTTTTAAAACACTAATGATTCTTACTGATTATGTTTATATAAATAGGATTAAAAATTCTGATGCGCTGTTATAGTTAATTGAGAAATAAATAAACTTACTCGCATACACCTATGCCTCTGTAACCTTATTTCATCAATAATATTCCTAACGGCCAGCGACAGTGGATTGTCCAGTTCTGGTAAATTAATCCTATCAACATCAGCTTGTATTGCAGATGGAGCACCAAACAATTTTTGAATAAAATCAGGATTAACGCCAAGGCCAAACCATAAGAACATGTGAATGCCATTTTCTAAAATCAAAAACAAAAATATATTTAGTTATGTCAACAAAATACAGAAAGCTTATCCACTGAAATGAAATTTACCTAATATATACACTCCTTGTTCATTCATTTTATCTATAGTACAACGAATAGGATTTGGAATAGTGACAGTCTCTTTTGTCACATCAATATCATGCAAAGGAATGAGCCTGGGATAGAAATAGTGTACAGAAGTTGGGACATCCATAACCATGACAGCTTGTAGGACATATGATCTGAAAAAAAAAATGTTAAAACTAAAGCAAAACTCTTAAAAGAAAATCAGGACATGCTTATCATTCTTGTCGAAACTATATTCATTAGAAAAAATGCTAAAACAAACATCTTACCTATCATCAATTGTCATGTCAGAACCACCAGACAGAGCGTCATTCTTCAAAAGACAATTAACATAAAGTGGCAGTAATTTCATACACTCCGGAAGGATTAGTTGCCCTGCGCTGCTAGGGCTGGCACAGTTCTTCCTATAAATCGCTAGTATTTGAGCTGCTCTACTCACTATGGAGTCCTGTTAATGAAAGAATAATGATCAATATTATAAAATAAAGAAATTAAAAACTCATGTGTTACAATATACGTGTGACAGTTTCTCTCCTGAAAACAACTACTCCTTTGGATAATACCGCTACAGACACTGAATTATATCAAAAGAAACAGCAGATAGAAAATAATTTTCAACTTTCATTTTGCTTATGAAAGAGAACGTAATACTTGGGTTGGTTTCGCTTTTATTAGGATTCATCAGCAAGAAATAGATCTTCTCGATTCCAATCTCTAATGAACTCTGTAGATGAGTTAAATGTACCCGAACACCATGGCTGGCAGTTGTGCAAGAAAAGAAGTAAAATAATAACATCATCTAAACTTGGTACTAGCGACCCATTATGCTTGGAAAAGTCCACGCACAAGTCTGTAAAGTTGACTAGTCCAAACACACTTTTCAAAAGTGGATAACTTAAGCTTTTAAGCTCTCAAAAAAAGTTTTCCTTTAGAAATTCATATCAGTTTATTTTCTGAAATTCTAAAAAAAATTATAAAAGCAATTTCCGAAAAAAAAATTCTCTTTATATCGTATAGAGCAAATTATTTGTTTATTTAGTTTATTATAGGACGAGAATATTGTAGTTTTATTTGAAATAAAATACCATCATGATTCTTTTATAGCTAAATATTTAATCCCTAATTTATTTTGCCAAGTATATTAATAAGTTAATAAACAATTACTTACCTTAACAACTTTTGGATTATTATCTAACAACTTGTAGCAAGCTTGTTTACTGATATAATTAATTATTGTATCTAAATCGCAACTTCTATATAAATCGGCCATTTGTGAGCAAGTCTTAAGTGAAAGATTCATTATCCTCAATCGTCGCTGCCCTGAACTGGATGTGTACAAAAGAGCAGCTTGTATGTAAACTCCGGCTTCTTCCGATAACTTATCATCATGTTTTATCTCGACTCCCACTGCTTTATCACAATCTGTAACAAAAAAGAAACATATTAATGAATAAAATATTAGTTTCGTTATTAAAAATTACCTATTGCAGCTAGTTCTATATCAGTAGTATTTGACATGTAGAAATGTCCATAAAAATCTGTAGGCCTCACTCCTGTCGAAGTTCTTACTCGCATGACTGAATCAAAGGCAATTGGTCTACTAATGTTCAAAATTATATCGTTGATCAGCCTCTCACCATCCAAATCAGCCTGAAAATAAAAATGTAATTTATAGTATCAAAATCGGTAAAGTAAAATCTTCTTTTCTGACTAGATGCATGCACCTAAAAATTGAATATTCGGACTAGCCGCTGATTAAATTTTTTTTAAATATTTTACAAAATTTTATTAACAATTTTAACCCATCGTCAAATTTGTTTATATTGTTCTGTATTTAATTTTAATTACATTTGTATAATATTTTCAACTTCACTAAGTTGTAAATAAAAACATGAATTTTTCATCATTTACTCTTTAACTTTGTCATAAAATAAATAATTTAGCCCTGGTGGTGGATTTAAACACATTCGAAAGCTTTGAATAAACTTATAGGAGTACTTATCCGTTTAGCTGCAAAACTCAATAACTTCCAAAGTTGAAATATACTTAAATTCTAAAACAGACTAATATTTAGGCTCTTCATGGAATGTAAAAATATTATTTTGAAAAATATCAATAATTATAGGACCAATAAAACTTTGAAAATGTATGTTAAATCAAGCATATGTCATCTACAAAATTAAGGTCATTGACGCCGAATACAATCATAGAATAGTCGTCAGAAAAAGGGAATACTGACCCATTATTAAATTTTAATACAGGGTCCCTACTATTTCATAGGGACATTATTGCTATTTCTTAAACATTAACAAATAGAAAATTCGTTAAATTAGACAAAAGTTGCGCAGTTTTGTGCTCATTAAAATGGTGCCAAGAAACCTTTGATATCTACTGGGAGATTAAAAATATCGATCAAAAAAATTAATGAATTTAAAGAAATGACACTTTTCATTTTGTCCGATATTTTGAATCTCCCTGTAGATATCAAAGGTTTCTTAGCACCAGTTTAATAAGCACAAAACTGTGCAAATTTTGCATAATTTAACCAACTACCTGTTACCGTTTTATATGGAATCTACGGTTCAAATTACATATGACAGACTTGTCAAATTTTCTTTTTTCCTAAACAAATTAAAAAAAAATGAGGTTAAAGTCAGTGAACTGAAAAATAATGTTCTAGCAGCATTGAATAACTCGAAACAAAAGCTATTTTACCAATAGAGTTATACATTTATAAAATGTGTTTTTCACCAGAATATCACTTTTTTTACCTATTGAGGGCCATTTCGCCTTTAGATAGAATATTTTATTAAGCACTACTTAGAACATTATTTTCCAGCTCATGGACTTCTATATTAAAAAAAAAAATAAAAATATATAACATTTATTTGGGAAAAATAATTTAGCAAAATTATTAAATAATTTGATCGGTAGATTCCAAAAAAACATTAAATATAAAGTGGTTTCTATTCCCGAACTTATTAAAGAGACAAAATATGTGTCAAACTAAGTTGGTGTGGTCTTTGTCTTAAAAAAAAGGAAAGAAGAGTTGTTGCTTGCACACTTTGGCAGAGTAAAGTTGCTTATTTTAAAGTTGTTGTAAAAGTTAATGTTAAAAGCTTCCTTCCTTCTGCCACGTAGGCAGAAATAAATATATTTTTCGATTTAATGGAACCATTTAATTAAACAGTACATTTTATTTACTTTACAGAGAGATTAACCAACAAATAGATCCATTTTAATGCCATTTCCGGTAAAACCGGAATTCGGCCATTTCGTTTAAGTATCAATTCGAAATCATATCTAGTATGATTGTTCGAAATTTTATCCAAATCGCTTAATAAAAGAGATATTAACGTGGCCATAGTCACATTGTCCCAGTATAAGCTAAAATTGGTTCCATTCGTTTTTGGACATCATACAGTACTGACACTTTTAATATGTACTTCAATAACACTCTTGTATTTTTTTTATCCTTACCTGGAAATATGTGTATTTAAAAACTTCACCTCCCGTAAGTCTAGACACCTGTCCAATAGTAGCTATATCTATGTAGGAATTATTAAAAACAAACAAATCAACTGAACAACCAACGCCTACGCAATCTTGACCCAATTGGTTGTAGGCTTGCGTTTGGGGTGTTAATACTGTTTTTTCCTTGTCAGTACCCAAAAGTTTTCTGTCGTCACGATTTTTAAGCTTTCCTGGTGCTTCGGCAGAAGGCAAAGTGGAATGGAACACGAGGAGTTTACCGACACTTTCTGAAGCCTAAAAAAAATCAAAATATAATATGTTAACAGTTTACCAAATTAACCTTTAATTTTTATCTAAAATTACCTTTAGGGCTTCTAATCCAGCTTGAATGGCAGGCAAAAGTACGGTTTCAGTTTCTCTGGTGTCTCCAAACATTGAAGGAATTTGTTGCATCAACGAATCGATTACAGGCCCAGATTCGTCAGGAGTGCACAAGAATCCATCTAATAGAGGCATGAACATTTCTTGTACATCACCAACCACCAACATTTGTGGTGCTGCTAAGGAACCCTAAATAAAATAATTAATTTTACTGATTGATGAAAGTCAAGCAAATAAAAGCAAATTTATCAAAAATAAAAAAACAATGTGAAAAGAATTATTTTTGTCTAAATAAGTGTGTAAACAATATAAAGTTTCAAAGTTAAAAAATATCACTTTAACTTCTATTAAAAAAGGTCTTGCAAGATCCTCAATAATTATTTATAAAAATCCATTTACCTTAATATTATAAAAATGCACTGAACTATTATAAGTGATGAACCCAACTCTCATATTGCTCTTTTCTTGGCCCTGATCTACAGGTAAATTTTGTATGATTTCCTTCATTTGCGAGCACAATAAATTCACCAACCCCGACTTGACGTTATTATAAGACACATCAATTACGAAAATAATAGCTGGAGGTTTAGGTAATGTGTTGTTACGACAATAGTCAGATGTTGCTACAAATTCGTATGTTCCCAATATTAGTTCGGGGCGCTCGTAACGGTCCATTCTTTGACCCGTGTGGTCGAGATGCTGGAAATATTCCGTTGGAACTGAAAATATAAAATTACATCAAATTTAACAATGAGGAAAAATCCTAAAGTTTTGTAATTTTTTGTTGTTCTCAAGTAAATGATCAATGTTTTTGGGTGTAGTCACAGACTTCAGAATCTCTGGACTCATTAGTGGCTGTACAGAATTTTAACAGGTTTTACCATTGGTCGGTCTTTTATACAAACCCTAGGATGAGTTACTACAGTAAGTTACTGGAATAAGTTACTAGAATAAGTTTCTAGAATAAGTTTCTAGAATAAGTATCTAAAATAAGTTACTAAAATAAATTACTAGAATAAGTTACTATAAGTTATTAGACTAAGTTACTAGAATTTTTATGCACTATTAGGGATGCATGCAGTATTTAAATTAAAATGTTCGATTTTGAATGATTTGTAGTTATTCAAGTATGATATGTGTTCTCCCAAAAATGTAAAAATATACAGGAAATTATATTTAAAAATAAGTTACTTTTGTTCATCCTGAATATATCTTATTATGGGAGACTATCTTGTGTATATTTAATGTTTTCAAAATATATTTTATTTTAAACGAAAAAAAAAAAAAATTCATCAGTAGTCGCAACATATTTCACTGAAATAACTTTAGATGCAACCTCAAAACTTTATTCGGCATAACATTTTTCATAACAAACATTTTCAAACTTCCTTTTTAAAACTGTACATTATTAAAAGCAACCTTCAATAATTATTTTAAATATACCTCCAGATACCGACAGCCAGCGGAGGACGTCTCATTGAACTGAAGATCTGTGGATCGTGGTCTGTGCAATGAGTGGTGTTGCCAAATCTAAATATAATTTACAGGAATTGTAATACACCGCGCCCAGGTACCTTCATAATTTATTAATTCCATTTTACTAAATTCAAAATCCTTCATTTAACGAAAAATATCCCAGATAATTAAATCTTATTTACTATACCTCATAAATAATATCTACAACCCTGTCTGCTAGCGATCTCATTTTCTTGCAGGTGCCTGTGAAACCAACCTGAAGCCACCATATAACATAAATCTTGTCAGGAAGAAATAATTTATTATTGAAACAGTTAACGCACTTATATTAAGTCATTTGAAAAAGGATAATTTCCTGACTAGTAGAATTTTTGAATTTTATATAAATAAAAAGTTCACTGGTTTATTCGGTCGTTTTTATAAAATTTAAGTACAGGCACTACATATGTTTCGGAAACACTGTTCCATCTTCTGATGCCAGTCAATATTTAACAAAATATGGGGACGATTACAAACATTTTAAAATAACAGAAACCTCGTTTTTTTGTTTTACATCGTGTGAAGGTGTATTTGGAAACAGTGTTTCTGAAACATATGTAGTGCCTGTACTTAAATTTTATAAAAACAAAAACTGAATAAACTAGTTAACTTTTTATTTATATATTAGGTCAGTTTGAATAGTAACATTGTTTTCGACACACACATTTTTCAAGGCAAGTAATAAATCGACCACCCCTTTTCTATCCACACAAATTCGTTCCCACCGGATTAAGAAATCAAATTTACTTCAATTGATTTCAAACTCCAGTCACTCATTACTCTTCAAATCTAGTATATTTCAAGTTCAGTATTCAGTACCTTTCATGAAATGACGCAGTTCCTACCCTACCTCCTATCGACACTGCTACGTCGCGACATTCTACGTCTCGACAACCTATATCCCGAACGTTTTCACGTCACGACGCTCAACGTACCGCCGCCCTACTTCCCTACCTTTCTATGTCCCGACGTCATCTTTCATATCCGACGCTCTACGTTCGATGCCCTATATCCCATTTGACGCTCTACATCCCTACCTTTCTACGTCACGACGCTCTCTCTTATACTGAGTCCCGACGCCCTCTCTACGCCCCGCCGCTCTACATTCCAACGCTCAACGTCCCGATGCTCTACGTCTCGATGCCCCTTCAATATTTCCAAATCAGCAACACTTCCACATATGAACAACAACATAAAAATGTCAGAAGTCGATGGTGAGTCAATAATTTAAAAGAGGTTTATTATTATATTATTCATTATTATAAATTCACAAAGGGGAGGGAGGTAATTAAATACACGCTTTTAAATAATTAAAAAGCGACCGGAAGTAGGCGGTTACAGTATCTACTATTACTTACATCAAAAGTAAATCAAACTTTGACAATTTGTCATGGTGTCACAACGTGATATTTCCTCTTAATCAAATAGATAAATTTATCAGAAAAAAAGTAATGTAACTCTTTTTCCAGTAAATGAAAATAGTGGCAGCTTCAAAGGCTTTACGGATAATAGATTCATCTGAGGAAGAAGTTCCTTAAACAGAATAAGATGATTATCAAATGCACAACCAGTTTCATTCAAACAATTATTCAGATATTAGGAAATAAACCTTGTTCAACCTGACTATCACCTGAACACCCATTTTGTATAATTATTTTCCCTTAAAAATAAATACCCGGTATTTTACATCACTAACTGTAACATTGTAAATTTATGTAAAATCTGATTAGGCCACTGTCAAAGCTTAGATAAATAAATATATAATTTATATTGCAACATAACATGTGGTGACAAAATGTGGCATGTTGGAGTTCAGTGTTTAGTAACCCTTTCCTTTCCTAGTGTAATCTTGACCACCCAAAGAGTCTGTAGTCCGTGTTTGTAGTATGTGGTTTAACATTGTGATAGTAGGTGATGTTTTAGAAGTCAATGTACTTACCATCAGTTGTTGCCATACAAAACAGGCATTGAAACCTTCTGCCAGAATCAACAAACTGCATGAACGGACACATATAGGCCTTGCATCGGATACACCGAACTGGTCCCAAAGTACCAAAATTTACAATAGGCGGTGGATATTCCTGATCCACTTGCCTAGCCATTGGACTTATAACCAAACTGAATGGCACTGCTGTTTGTTTCATAATATCCTAAATAACAAAATATGTATATCCTTAAAATTCAAATATACAACTATTATCTTAATGCGTATTTTGCATAAATGAATAAATTCATGAAGAGATTTAATAATTGTAAAGTCTTTCAGTGTTACTCTGATGGAATTTTATTTTATTTTTTTAATCTTACTAAAAGAAATACTCTATTAAACAGTTCTCAAGAACATGTTCCTCAAAAATGTACAATTATTATAATTGTTATTTTCTAATCCAATATAGATGTTCTCAAATACCTTACATTGAAAACCATCATTTTCAAAACTTAATCTTGTTAATTATTTATTTATATTTCACAAATTCCAAATTTATTAAGAAATAGCTCATTTTGTATTTACTAACCTGAGAAATGGGCACATTGTACATTGACGATCTAATAAATCTAGGACTGCAATTACCCTGATCTTGAACAACAAAGTTAGTAGTCACCAATGGCGGAACCAGACCTTTTTGATTTGTAACAAACACGCCTGCACGACTTTGTTGATCATCTTGTATCACTTGAATCTAAAAACATATAAAACCAAGAATAGCTACATTATGTGGTCAAATTTATTCATAGATACAATGCCCGACTTCAAACCCAGATTAGTTGGTCTCAAATGATACACAAATATTTTATTTGAAAGGTTAAATCAGTGGTTCTCAAAGTGGGCGAAATCGCCCCGTTGAGGGCGCTGGAGGCCTTCAGGGGGGCGGTAGAAGGCTCAGGGGAAAATTGGCGGCGTTAATGCGGTCTAGAGGGGCGGTGACACATATTGAAAAATTATGTTTTAATACGTATTTTGGCAGCTCTATAAATAAAATTGTTTCGATACCTACTTTGCTTATAGAATCCCGTATTAAGGTAGTTCACTCGTAAAACGGCCTTTCTTAAGAATTCAATAAAATTGAAATATGAGGTTAATAAAAGTGTCTTTTATGTACCTAAAAAAAATAAAAATTTTTGACCGTCTGTAAAACGAGATATTAACAATCAAAATGTGTATAATTAACACTCTTGAAACCCTGTCATGTACACAATCATTGCATTTATTTCAAGATATCTCGAAAACGGTTCTTACCATATTTTTTAAAAACTAATGTAATGTAAATCAAGAAGTTATAAAATTTTCTAAAAAAACGCTAAATTTTTTTACCGTTTTGATAAAAAAATATAGATTTTTAAAATAAAAATGTTCTTAAAGCAGTCGACGCATAGTGGCGTATTGTGATTACAACTTGGCAACGCCCGCTAATTCAAATGTCTGTTAGATCAGTGCTTCTCAACCTTTTTATTGCCGCGGACAGGTCAAGTTTATCACTTTATCGAGGCCTTCTGGGAAGGGACGTTGTTTATACTTAAGGTTGATATGATTTAACAATTTAAATTTAATTGTATTTAAACATGTCTTCAAAATTAAATAAATATGCAAAAGATAAATATAATTTTATTTAAACATGCCTTCAAAATAAAATACAGTTACACAAAAAAATGAATATAAAGTAATTTAAAATTTTAACTTACTAGTATGAGGAAGTAATAAAAAAATACAAATAAAAGTAATGATTTTCTGTAGTATTGATGATATCATAGGAACGTTCATAACAGCAAGAAATTTATTTATAGCAGTTTGACCAAACCCTGAATGGACAGCACCTTTAAATAAATAAAATTATATTAATTATAATAAAAAAATTATAAACAAAACAAATACTTATGTATTTTTTTTTAAATTTATCTAGAACTGCTTTAGTGTTGACATCTGAATGCTTAACTTCACTTTTTGTTGCATGAACTTTGTCCGTAGGTACTATAGTTTCAATATTACATTCATTACATTTAACATTTAAAATTGAATAAAGGTCCTTTCGTGTTTCATTTGTAATATTTTCAATAGAAAGAACTATTTCACACCAGCAACATTTTAAATGTTTTCCCAACTCTAGTAATTCCACGATGCGACCACTGCACAGGTTATTTTTCAAGCTTGGGGTTTCCTTTCTTATTTTTTTTTTGCATTATTCATAACCAAAATTGATTTTTTGCGTTTGTCGAGGACGTTCTGCTTAACAAATTTTCCTTTATCTCGCAATTAATTGATCCTGACAATGAAACATTTTGATATTTACATTTATTTCACTTTAGGAATACATTTGACGTTTCACAATATATTTACGACGTTGCCGGATGGATTTTACGCGATATAATACCATATTTGTATAGGGACCGTGCGTCATGACTTTAACGCTAACTGGTGACAAAAATGTGAACTTTTTGGGGGGTATTTATTAATGTTTTATACGGCATTTATTGTTTAATAATTATTAATAAAATGAAGTCGAATTATTTTCGTAATATCAATATCGAAAAAACTTGTTGCATCCGTGGATGTACAAACACATCACTTTAGAAACCTGGATTTCATTCGATAGTAAAGAAATTTTATAAATTTCCACAGAGCACAATTATGCCTCACACCCAATGATATACATAATTACAAAGATTGCTTATCCATATGTAAATCAGACGACGAAAAGCGTATTTCACTGGGCAAAGTTTTCTTTTTATCTAGCTTGTATCAATTTTGAGCACTTAGTTGTAAAGAAATCATTTACAGAAAAATTAGAATCTTTAAGTGTTTTCTTGTCATTAAGATTTTTACATATTTAAATGACCATTTTATATAAATATAATTTTACAGATAATGGTTTATTCTGTTGATTAAAACTAATGTAGAATGTTATGAAATAAGAATATCCAATTTGACAAAAATATCACGGCCCTCTTTACAATTTATTAACTATTTCTCATTTATTATTAAAATAAACAAATCATAAATTGCTGCGTTTGAGAATCCACATCGGATGCATCTGAGATGTAAAAAATCTTTGATCACGTGATTCAGTATACGTAAATTGCTGCGTTTGAGAATCCACATCGGATGCATCAGGAGATGTAAAAAATCTTTGATCACGTGATTCAGTATACGTAAATGTAATGGGACAGATGTGTCCGATGTGGATAAAAAAACGCTCGAGATGTAAAAAATGCATCCGATGTGGATTCTCAAACGCAGCAAATGTAATGGGACAGATGTGTCCGATGTGGATAAAAAAACGCTCGAGATGTAAAAAATGCATCCGATGTGGATTCTCAAATGCAGCAAATAATACATTGCAATTACTGTCAAAAGAGATTGTAACAAACTTTAAAATATTAAAAATCCAGTGATTTTTTGTAAATTTTTTTAGTGACATTACCATTAAACATTATTCAGAATAATAGATAAGTGTCCAATTACAACTCTTACCAAAGTTGTTCATACCTCATATCAAAATTGTTTACATTACCTTTTCAAAATTGTATTACATATTGCAATTATGTATTTTATGTAGAATTGTTTCTGAAATAGTAGTCTAAAATTATTTATATCCATCTGTTATAAAAATTGTTTAGATCTCTTAATATTATTTAACTACATGAAAACTCTACTTTCCAAATACATAATGACATGTCTTGAAGTAAAACTTTAATTATTATCTTTTTCTAAAGATTAAAATGCTGAAATTTTATTTTAACACATTTGGGCTAGAACGGCTCTATTTAGTGAGCACTAGGAAAGGCACATTGCAACCAGCTTTTCATAATTTTTTTATAGTTGGGTGAGCAATCTATAATATATGTATCATTGAACATCTCATAAACGCCAGTGGATGAATGACATTTCGATTAACATAAAGCTAAAAAGATTTATAATTATTATTATCAATCTTTTTTATTAATTTACATTTTTTAAATGTTATTGTAATACTTTTAAATTCAGTGTTACTAAATACCTATATTTTAATATTGGATACACTTGTTTAAGGTACAACTTTACAATTTATTGTCACTTAGCCATTTAAATCTTTTTGCTTAAAATGTATATGCATGTCCAGATTTTAATAATGTTTCACATTTTACGTCATTTTGACCATGTACACGATTGTTTGGTACGGGCCGGTATCTATTTTTAACTATATTTAATATTTAAAAAAATACCCTTCATTATTTACTTGCAATGTTTACCCCATTTAATTCTAAAATTAAACACTAGAGAGGGCTAAGTTCGGCAGTAGTGCTGCCTCTATATTTCACGCACGGTCCCTATATAGGATCACATGTGTTGTGTGTACAGTCTGTTACAAAAATAACCTTTCTTTAGATTTAAGAATCTCGAACGGTTGGTATTCACTATAGGGCGATATTTTTGTATACGACTGTCGCGAGTGAACTACCTTAAAACTAAAATTAAGTAGATACCTACCTATCAATAGCGGTTTCTTCATTGATACATTTGTGCAGTAAACACCCAATTAAATTTAATAATAAAATAAATTTAAAAAAACAAGTTAAACGATTTTATTAAAATATGCACTAAAAAGTACAAAATATTTTTAACAGATCCCTGTTAAGTAAAAAACAGTATTAATGGCACATTTTCGATATAAAATCGTGGGGCCACAAAAGTAATAAAATGCCATTACCACTGTTTTTTACTCAACAGGGATCTGTTAAGTTATTTTTACTTTTTAGTGCAATTTTTTAATAAAATCGTTTAACTTAAAAAATTATTTTATTTTCATCTTTTTAGTTAAATTATGTGTGTCGTCTACTAGAGAAATTCGTCGCGCCGCCACGCCGGGTTTGTTATTGTTGTATTGTTTCATATTTATGCGTTTTTAATTAATAATTTAATAATTACTATATATGAAATTGTGTAAATTTCTTTCTTGAAGCGCACAAAATAATAATTGAATACATACTTTGAATTCTCACGATCTGCTACTGCTACCTACTGTGTACTATCATGGCGAAATCCAAATAAACTTATTCCGCCGGCAATCATGCACGAATCGACAGGAATATGTCATAACTTGTTTGTACGAATTCGTACATGAGATAATTCGTGTCGGTATGAGTTGCATTTCCAATCTATTTATAAGGCAAGGTAGGGTGGCTTTGTTTTAATTTCATTAGCATTTCGGCATCGGTAGAAGTTTTCTTAAGGTGCACACACTTCCAAAATAAATAGTTGTTTATTTTTTACTTAAGTAGTGTGCTGAACATATCAGAGGCAAAAAAGAAGAAACGGTAGAATAGTGCGGAATATATTAAATATGGATTTATCGAAAATCCTACAAATCACCAATGTGAAAAAACTTTTTCAAATGAAGCCATGAAATCTTCGAGATTGAAAGCATATTTGAATAAAATACATCCGGATAAGAAAGACAAAGATGTGACCTATTTTCAAGAACTGGAAAATAAACACGTAGCTCAGCCCACTAAATCAAAACTTTTCAACTTCTTCTTGACAAGATGACGGACTACGGACTTTTTACAATATTTCATTGTTAATTGCTAAATCATGAAAACCATATTTTATTGGAGAAGATTTAATTTTACCGGCAGAGAAAGAAGTCAAAAACACCATGCTCCACAAACCAGCGGCAGACATTATCCATAAAATTCCTCTGAGCAATAGTTCCATGCAAAGACTCATTGTGTAATTATCTGAAGACATGCCAATTTTCAATTCAGCTGGATGAGCCTACTTTACCAACTAATGAAGCGTTATTGTTGGCATATGTGTGGTTTATCAAAGATGAGAAAATATGTCAAGAATTATTATTTGCCAAAAACTTAGAAACAGATACAAAAGAAGAATCCATATTTAAGAAACTGAACATTTTTTTGTGATGAAAAGCAAATTCCATTGAATAATATTTTATCAGCTGCTACGGATGGCGCTCCTTCTGTGACCGGGATACACAGAGGCTTCATAACATACTTAAAAAATTAAATTCAAGATATGATTGCCATACACTGCGTCGTTCATTGACAGCATTTGGTTGCAAAAAATCTAAGTGAACGTCTGCACACTTTACTGCAATATGTCATCAAAGCAGTTAATAAGATCAGAAGCAACTCACTGAATGACAGATTATTTAGTGAACTTTGCGTTGCCAATGATAAAGATTCCAACCGTTTGTTGCTTCACACAGAAGTGTGCTGGTTATCAAGAGGTACTTGTTTGACTTGCTTTTACAATCTGTTTGATTCTGTGATAAGAGTTCCTAGGAAACAAAGACACAGAATTGAGATAACCTCATCATATCAAAGCATGATATTGCCTACTTGACAGACCTCTACAAATTGTGTAATGATGTTAATCTCCAACTTCAAGGCGACGCCTTAAACTTGATTGAAACAAAAAATATTGTTGCTTTCGTGGCCAAACTGAAACTTCACAAAATAAATATGTGAATTTAATAACTTCCCTAGTTTATCATCTTCCAACATCAACAATGATGACTTGCTTGTTTACTGTCAACACTTGGAGATTTCAAACATTTTGAGCATGGACATAGCAGCCTAGGTGTTAGATCCTGTTTCAAATGTCAACACAGCTGGATCATCCCTGTTGGAATGGAAGAAGAACTTATAGAACTGACAACAAACGAGAAATTCAAAATTAAATTCAAAAATGATTACCAAGAATTTTGGTTGCAGAAGCCAATCCCACAACTGTATCCTGGATTATGGTCAATGGTTCAACGATTCCTAATGGCACTCCCATCTTCATATTTATTGGAGCGTGGATTTAGTGCAGTAACAACCCTGCTAAGAAGAGAAATAGACTGCATTTTAATGAACGCGGAGACTTATGCCTGTTTGACAGTGACTTTCAGCCCAAAATTGCTAAACTCGTTAAAGTACATCAGTTAAGTGTTAAATTCAAAGCTTTCTTGAAATATCAATAAAAATATTTTCAAATGTGATTAAGTGGGTGTGTATTATTTTTTATTTACTCCTTTCAGAAAAAAACATTCTTATTTAAGCTCAAAAATAAGATATCTTCATTGTAATGTCGTAATGTAAACTCGTATCTTTTTAACCGACTTCAAAAAATCTGATGTGTCCAACACATGACTTTCCTATCTAGTTATTATAGGTTTTTTCCAGTTATTTTGTACAACCTATTGCAGCACCTCTATAAATGTTTAGAGGATAAACAAAATATATACATTTTCCACATACATCTACCTCGAAACATTTTTCTATAGATATTCATTGAAAACGAAAATAATGAAAAATTTAAATTTAGCACTTTTCCTCCAATTTTTCCATTACGGTCCATTTTAGAAAAATCATGTATAAACAAAAATTATAGAGATTGATATCGCAAACAACTTTTAGTTTAACAATTTACTTAAAAATCAGAATTTTGCACATGTTGTCAAATTTCTCGAATACGGGCCATTTCAGGAAAATTTGACATAAAACAAAAATGATAGATAATAATATTAGAAGTAACTTTTATTTAAACAATTTTCTTCTCCAAACATAAATAACAGATATATTTCATAAAATGAATCGGTCATTTGAGAAATGACACATGTCACATTTTTGTCCATTTTGTTTTTATTTCAAAAATACAATATTTAAAGGTAAATTATAATTATTGTATTACACCCAAAAAGAGCAAGTTTTAAACGTTAAGTGTACAAAACTATTTTTTGTCCATGTTTTGAGATTTTCACTTTTTCTTATTCTTTGAAAAATGATCTAAAACTGACGTGCTGTTTCTCAAATGACCGATTCAAATATAAAAACGACCTCTTATAAAGTACCCCCCCAGATGTTCCGACTTTGTCCAAAATCTAATCATTTCACGTCAGGCCGAAATAAAACTTAAGTTTAAAATTTAATGTTTTTTCTTTTTCCGTTTTTGATTTTTATTCAAAATTCGAAATTTACATATTTTCTCAAATATCTCGAATACGGTCCATTTTAGAGAAATTATGTATGGGATAAGAATTATCGAAAATTATATTATAAACAACTTTTATTTGAACAATTTTTATAAAAAAATATTTTTTTACATTTTGTCAAATTTCTCGAATACGGACCATTTTAGGAAAATTTTGTATAGAACAAAAATTATAGATAATAATATAAGAAGTAACTTTTATTTGAAAAATTTTCTTCCCCAAACGTAAATAACAGATATATTTCATAAAATATAAAAATGACTACCTATAAAGTACCCCCCCAGATGTTCCGACTCTGCTCAAAATCTAATCAGCTCATTGGACGCTGGAACAAAGCTTAAGTTTAAAATTTGGTGTTTTTCTGTGTATCGGTTCATGAGTTATGCGACACACAGACATCATCGCGAAAATAGTCAAAACGGATTCAGGGGACCTCAAAACGTAAAAATCCGTCGAAAACAATCATGATTCCTTTACTTTCCTTATATCTGTATACAGATAGGAAAGTAAAAAAGGAGGGTCTATATTCGTCATAGACCTTTTTTCATGCATGTTCGCGAATTTCTCAGAAACCACTTGACGGATTTTAATGATTTTATGCTCATTTTGTGCGGGAGTTCTCCAAGTTGGTCCCATCCCAGAGAGGGTAAATTATTGATTTATTAATAATTAACTGTAATAAAATTAATTATATTTGACTTTTTAGTGAATTTTTTGAAGTCGGTTCTATTTTTTTTTTTTGTTTATGTTCAATTTCAGGTGTTTTTTAGACACTTACTCAGACATAATATACTTTAAAAAAATTTGGGGTGCGCTACACAAATGTTTATTCTCAAAGTGGGCGCTGGGCAAAATAAATTTGAGAACCACTGGGTTAAATGGTTTGTGCCTATCATGACAGGCTTTTTTTCTAATCCCAAGTCTCTACTTTTTGCGAGATATGCAATAAATTGTCAACGTATCTTAATACTTACAGGACTGGGCATCTGATCAGGATCTAACCTCCTAACCTGTTGGGGTTGTTGATAATTAGATTGGGGATATCCTTGCGGACTTGGATATTGGCCCTGTCCTGGCATTGGAGCTTGTCCAGGAAGAGGAGGTTGTCCAGGAAGAGGAGGTTGTCCAGAGAGAGAAGGTTGGCCAGGGAGAGGAGGTTGTCCAGGCATTGGTGGAAAACCAGGTCCAGGAGGCCCCCTTACTTGTTGACCATTGACAAAACCTGGTTGGTTCATGGGTGGAGGCATGTGAGGACCAGAGTCACCATTTATACCTCCTCTAACGGGACCAGTAGATCCTGGAGGACCAGCAAATTGTTTTGGACCTGTTTATTTTTTGTTTTTAGCGATTTGCTTACATTTACAGATTGGTTTTAAATTGGCTCTTTCACTGTGGCAAGCGCACATATGCGGACTGGCGAAGTTGAGCTATATGTGGACTGCACACTTGTGCATACTGTGTATCTCTAAATATAATAGTCTCATTTGAATAGCAGAGTTATATGGTAGGACTACAAAATTTTGTCCGCAAATAGCCAGATATGTAACCTATAATTATTAGGCAACCTTCGTTTCTCTGGAAGTGTTGTTAAACAGTTCCTAGATGGCGTCGGGTTCTAGGTATTTCATCAAATTGAAAATAAAGCGTTTCTTAGATATAATTTCGTTATTTATAATAGAATTAAGTGAAACAAGGCCTTCTAATATAACAAGGCAAAAAACTACGCATTTAAAAAATATAAGTAAAGTTATCAGTTGAAGAAATGATGGACTTTTTATACAATAGAGAAAAATTACAAAATGAGAATACGAAAAATAATACAAACAACTCATTATATCCAAATATTTTAAAAACTAATTAAAATATGTAGAGGACTTGCATCAGCGTTTCACAAAAATTACTGAAAAAAACAACAAATACGATTAAGTTTTTTTTTCAGTCTATTAGTAGTATTTCCACAGTGAAAGGGTTAAACTATTACTGATTATAGTTTTTTTTTAATGGTTTGTATTACTTTAACAACCTTTATTACACTTATTTAAACCTTTTTTTGTTGGAACTGGCATTAGACTTTTCTCTTTGTCACAGGAAACAAAATTATAAGATATCATTAGATATATAATTAATAGAATAAAATAAAATTTATGTAGAATGTACCTACACAGAAGAATAAAAAGGTAGCTGTTTTACAAATTTCTGTCTTTGAAATAAGCAACATTGTTGCCAAATTATAGAAGTAAAAATTATTATTTTTTTTTACCAAAACAGGGATTCACATTTAGTGTGATACATTATTTATCATTTAAAAAAGAAATTAAATATATGTGTTGGCAATAATTATGAGCTAACAAAAATAATAAGTGTAACTTGGTGGATAACATATACAAACTGTTTTTAAATAAATCAAGGTATTGTATTTTAAATATAATCCAGGCTATTGATAAGACTTTTTATTGCAAAGTTTTAATTATATTTAATGCACAGAACAAAAATGAAATTTCAGACACACTAAACTTTAGAAATATATGATTATGTATTATCAATATACTGGCAATAATTAATCTATTTGAAAGCACTGATGATATTTCCATATATTTTGTAAAAATTAAAAATGAACTTTAAAAAAAGTTTACTAACCTGATAAATTCATTCCCTGTATTTGATTAGACAACTGGGTAGGGCCATATGGAGATTGACCTGGAAGAGGAGGAGGCATTTGTGGTCCTGGGCCTGCTCCTGATGATGGAGGATAAGGTCCAGAAACATTCTGAAATGGATTCTGATTTCCTGGCAATGGTTGTTGTCCAGGTCTAGCTTGTGAAGGGAATTGTCCTTGTCCGGGTTTTGATGGACCCATTTGATGATTAAACTGATTTTGAATTCCAGGAGGCGGCCCAAACTGATTAGGGCCATTAGATTGGCCCATTGTCTGTACAGATCCAGATTGTGATGGTGGAAAGCCAGGTTGTCCCATTTGAGGTTGATGTCCAAACTGTGATGGTGCACTATTTAAAGGTCCTCCTTGTTGAGATTGTGTGCCAAATTGTGAAGGAGGTCCACCTAGCTGGCCTCCTGGAGGAGATGGGCCACTTTGAGTTGGAGGTGGTGGACCACTTTGCAATGATATTCCACTCTGAATAGGAGATATACCTTTTAAAGGCTGTTGGCCTCCTAGAGGTGGTGGACCACCATGAGATTGAGGACCGCCTTGCAAAGGTAGTTGACCTCCCAGAGATGATGGACCACTTGATATAGGAGGTTGCGATGGAGGTCTACCTGGCATAGAAGGTTGAGATGGGCCTCCAGCAGGTGGGGGTGGGTGTGGTTGTGTTGGAGGACCACTAGATACAGGAGGTTGACCTACCTGCGAAGGTGGATGACCAAATTGAGATGGATGACCACTTGCCAAAGGTGGTTGACCCAAATGATTAGATGGAGTTGAAGGTGGCCTAGATGGCATATTCTGATTTGATGGTGGTGTCGAAAACTGATTTTGGCTGAGAGGTGGGGCAAACTGATTTTGGCCAGAAGGTGGAGCAAACTGATTTTGGCCAGAAGGTGGAGCAAACTGATTTTGGCCAGAAGGTGGAGCAAACTGATTTTGGCCAGAAGGTGGAGCAAACTGATTTTGGCCAGAAGGTGGAGCAAACTGATTTTGATTGGTGGGTAGGGCAAAGTTAGAGGATGGTCTATTAGGTTGATTGCTAGGTATGCCACCTAAAATGAAAATAAACATTGTATCATCTCTTTAACATCAATGTTATTAAGAATATTTCTGTACATCGAAGGTAAACTGCACTATGTCATTCTAGTCAACTTTTCAATAGAGCAGATTGAATGTTGTTTGGACACTTTTTGGGTTCCTTAATTACACATCATTATATTTCAACAAGAAATGCAGTTAGACACCCAATTATTGACATAATATTTATGTATTATTTACTATTCTAACTAATAAAACTTCCTAATTTTATTTTAATTTGCATAAACTGTTGGTTTTTATGACATATTTCTGATAGCAACTTTTCTGACATAGTGTCATATACCTCCAACATTTCTATGTTCTCATAGAAATTTTAGAGAATTTAACATGAGTTAAAAATAATATGTGTGTATGGAGTTGTTTACCTCGTAATTTTATTAAACATAGTGCTATATTTTTTTATTGTTACCTCACTAATACCTGCCATCATAAGCCAAACCCTGGTAACTAACAAATTAAAATATTTGAGATTATTCGACCATTCTGATACTAATGCTTATTCTTCCTAAAAAGTAACCAAAATCCCAGTAATATTTTTCTTTATCCTAAAATGTCAACTTCTTTCTTCACTCTAACCAACATTTTTATAGAGCATTCTTAGCAAAAACCTTTTACCCCCTAAGTCAAAACAAAAAATGAAATCAAACTTATTTTTAACTAGTTAAAAGCATTATCCAAAAATTATCCTTAATTCAACACAAACAGCTGTATTGGTATTACCAATAAGAATGCTAAAACTAATAAATTTTCTTTTTTTTAATATCTCCATTCCATAGTTTGCATAGTTACTGTGGTTTTGCTTATGACGGCAGTGTAGTATATACCTGGAAAGGTCTTGATGATCTGAATTTAAAAATATAACTTTTATAAAACTGCACTATGTCGACATAGTGTAGTATACCTCCAAGGTACAGATTTTTTAAATTATGTTAATTTCTATTAAAAAACAAATATTTTTAAGAAATAGTATTATTGTGCTTTGATAAAATACAAATGGCAAAATATTGTTTTTATCAATAATTGTTTTCAGATGATTAAGTTTTAATAATCTATGTTAATGGAAAATAAAAGTAAAATATCAAAAGTGTTCTACTTAAATTTTCAAAAGTTCATTATTAAGCAAGCTAAAATATAATACAAACATTCTAACTTGTGATGAACAAATGTTTAATAATTTTTTGACCTTAATAACAATGAATTATATAAATTACCTAAATCCAAAAGTACACACTGCCTTACCTGGCATTTGACCATTATGAAATTGTGGAGGTCCATTTTGATAACTTGGAGGACCATTCTGTATACTGCCAGAAGGCAAGTTTTCTTGTTTAATGGGTGGTAAACCAAATGAACTATTGACTTCATTTCCAGTAGATGGAGGCAATTGATTTGATGGAATCTGTGTTCTTGGCATCGATCCCCCTAAATTTGAAGGAGGGAACTGACTGGGTTGGTTAGTAGGAGGCAAAGAAGGAACTTCTCCCAAGGGAGGCTTTTGTGGGCCAAGTGGCACATTTTGGAATGATTGTGGTGATGCTCTATTTGGCGGACCCCCATACTGTTGTTGAGGTATAAATTGAGAATTCATTTTAAGTCACCCTAAAATAAATATCATTTATTAAAATATGATAAATGTTTGTTTTTTAGTTTTACTTTCATCATTATCATTTATTGATGTTACAAACTGAGTAGCTTAAAATGGCATTTAAAAATAAAAAAGAGAAGTATGATTCTGCTACATAAATAGGTACAATGAAATAAAAATAAATTAAAATGTCCTAAATGATAATGATTAAAACAGATAACAGTATTGGAAGATTTATATTGTCTAATTAATTTATATTTCTTGAAAAAATATTGCTAATCAAGGGATCTTTAGTTTACTTAATAACCGATAACGACTGAAGAAAAACTGTCGAAGTATCTCAATAATTAATCACACAATAAAACCAATAAAAACTAGTTCAGTATGCTAGTAACATTGAACATATTAATGGATATGGATACAGTATGGATTCCCTTTAAAGTGCTTGTATGTCAACAAATTTTATCATTATAAAATATTTTAACATATCTGCTTGAAAATTGCATACCAAAAATCGTTAAAGTCTAATCAAATCGTGAATTTTTAATAAAAAACGGGAATTACTTCTGAAAAAATCAAAAGAGATTGTCGACATAAATTTATTAACTAGACCATATCCTTGAAACTATATAACAACAAATTGTTGGAAATAAAAGTAGAATTGTTATTTAGTAATTTGAATTTACTTACAGTATAAATTTAACTAAAAATCTTGTGAAAAATGTAAATAAATAAAGGACATCACTTTACACTTCACTCTGCCACGTAAGTTTAGAGTGCGCAAGTTTTAGTTACTTCCACGTCAATATCACTAGAATGACGATAAATTCCCCATGTCATTTTGACATTCAGGATTACCAATCTACGAACACGTAGATCCAGGGCCCGACGAAGGAGAAACGAAAACCAAAAGCATATTAATTTGGTCTTTTATTATTTATTCCTCAAAATTTTAAAACGAAACTAATTTATCTAACCGATTATATTAAAATCTGTTACTTGTGATTGAATAAATTGAGTTTTGTTACCACTAACAATAATATTAATATTATTGATTTTTAAATAAATTCCGATTCTGCTAAAACTGACATCCATACAGTGTTGCCAGTCTAGTACAAATGTACTAGATCTAGAACATTCTCTGAGAATCTGGTACTCTAGTACACTCGAAACAATATCTAGTACTTTTTTCAGCGTATGTTTCCATTTGTGTAAAATATATTAGGTCAAAAATTGCAAGAGAAATTAAAGTAGTTGTTAAAAATAACTTCAGAGATAAAATAGTAGACATTTCTTGAGAGATAAAACATTGTTTAAAAATTGCACGAGAGATCAAATATTGTTCAAAAATGCCTTGAGAGGTAGAAAGGGTGTTAAAAATTGGTCGAAGCATAAAATAGTAATATAAATTGCTTAAGGGGTAAAATATTGTTCAAAAATTGCTCTAGAGATAAAAATACTGTTAGAAATTTAATGAGATAAAAATATTTAATAATTTTTCCAGAGATTAAATAGTATTATAAATTGTTAAAATCGTGTTCAAAAATTGTTCGAGGTAAAATAGTATTACAAAATGTTAAACCCTTGTTCAAAAATTGCTCGAAGGATAAAATACTATTGAAAAATTTGTTGAGAAATAAAATATTGTTCAAAATTGACTCAAGAGATATCTACTATTAGAAATTTATCGAGAGATACAACATTGTTTAAAAATTCCTCGAACGATAAAATACTATTAGAAAATGCTTGAGAGATAAAATATTGTATAAACATTGCTTGAGATATGAAACATTGTTAAAAATTTATCGAGAGTTAAAATATTTTTATAAATTTCTCGAGAGTTAAAATATTGTGCAGTTTTCTAAAGAGATAAAAAAGTTGTTAAAAATTGCTCGAGAGATAAAATAATGTTTAAATATAGCTCAAGAGATAAAAAAAGGTTTAAAAATTGTTCGAGAGATAAAATAGTATCATAAGTTATTAAAATCTTATTCAAAAATTACTCGAGAATTAAAAAATACTGTTAAACATTTCTCGAGAGATAAAACATTGTTTAAAAATTGTTAGAAAGATAAAAAATGGTAATTAAAATTGCTCGAGAGATAAAATAGTGTTAGAAATTGTTAAAATTTTCCTCAAAAATTGCACGAGAGATCAAATATTGTTCAAAAATAGCTTGAAAGGTAAAAAAAGGCTGTTAAAAAAGGCTGTTAAAAAACTGTTCGAGAGATAAAAGTGTATCAAAAGGTATTAAAATCTTATTCAAAAACTGCTTGAGAGATAAAATAGTATCAGAAATTTGTCGAGAGATAAAATATTGTTTAAAATTGTTGTGTTCGTGTTCTCTATAAACCTTTTTTGCTCTTTAATGACCTTACTTCATAATTAGAAAAATCTGGTAATTTTATAGAATCTAGTACATTTTTATGAAATCTGGTACATTTTTCAGATAAATCTGGTACCTGAGGGTACATTGTGGGTACATTACAAAAATATATTCTGGCAACACTGCATCCATATGTTTTATGTCACTTGAACTGACATCACATAAAACATAAAACATAAATAAACAAACAGAGGTAATTCTAACCCATAACCCAGAATAATAACTATTAATTATTCTGGGCCCATAATACAACTTCTAACCAGCTTCTATCTGTATACTTCTAATTATGTGAATAAACGAATAAACATCAACAACTGCGTTACAACGTTACAACTGTACCATATCTGTATCCCAACCAAAGTTCATTAAAAAAAAAACTTATTTTAAACTATCTACAAATAATAAGAAGCATGAATGTAATGTTACTCCAGTATCTCCAAACAGTAATACGGATGTATTACCAATGTAATGATTAGGTGTCTTTTTAAAAATTCTCACTATGTTGAAAAATATTGTGATTATATCCACCTTAATTATTATAGTTATTGCAGTTTATTTTCCATCAAGACATGCAAGACATTATAATTACATTTCTGTCAAAGATATGTTAAATGAATTAGATTTGAAATGGCCACAAAATAATAGGGTTTTAAAGAATTGCTCCTATAATGAAATTGTCACAAATGATGAAGACATCGAAATATCTTCAATAAAGGATAAGAGAGAGTTCAAGAAGCCTCTGTTAGGTAACTAGGATTTTATTTTAAGCAACATTTGCAGAAATTCATTAAAAAACATGTTTTTAGGAGGAGAATTTATACCAGATGACTGCATTGCTCTTGAAAAAACAGCAATAATCGTACCATACAGAAACAGAAGTTATCATTTAAACATTTTTGTTAAATATATGCATTGGTTCCTTCAGAAGCAAAAATTACATTATCGCATTTTTGTTGTGAATCAAAATGATTCTTTACCATTCAACAGAGCAAAAATGATTAATTATGGTGCGAAGATGTCTATTCGCTTACAATACCACTGCTTGATATTGCATGATGTTGATTTAATACCTATCAATACAAGGAATATTTATGCATGCTCCAAATTGCCCAGGCATATGTCAAGTAGTTTGGATACTTTTAGGTGAGTTTACATAAAATAAAATATTTTTTTTTATTCATAGTTTTCTGTCTATTTAGTGTTTTACTTTACCACTAAACAATGAGGTACCTATTTTCTATTTGGTACAGTGTTACACTTTTTTTATATGGATACACTGTGTATTATTTGGGTATTAAATGGATTTACAGGCAAATTAACTATATTTTCAGTTTCAATCATAGTAGTCCCACATGTTCCAATACCTATCTAAAATCATCTACTTATCACAAAACACATATTAAATATGGTTAGATCAGCCAACAATATATTAGGATATTTAAAAATACAAAGGGTGCATTTAATGATATCAATACCATTAAACTGCTCTATTTTAGCTTGGTGAGGCTTAAGCTTGAATTTGCTTCAATAATTTGGTTTTGGGAGCACACCACAACCATATCAGAAATTAAAAAAAAATCAGAACAATTCTCCTTTATTGTTTAAAAAATACCAAAGGTGGCTTGAATCAGAACAACTTGATTGAGAGAGGAATTCAAAATTTTAGCTTGCGAACGAAGGCAATGTTTGACAGCCATATTTTTCCTGTACAAAATTATTAGTAATAAAATAAATGGTCCAGAAATATTGCAATTATTACTATTCCATGAACCTTCCCATATTAGGTAGACAATATTGCGACGCGAAAGCCATCTCTGTTCCTTGTTTACTTCTTGCCCGCGGTATGAAGTCTAGCACTGGCCATATAGAGACAAACGCACCGTTTCGAGAAGCTACCGGATAGATCCCGGCGAATGAGTCATAGAGAGGCAGTTTTCGATCGTTCTGGAAAGCCGAAAGAGTTCTGATACACAGCTGGCTTTATATAAATAGCGCGAGTTTGTCGACTGACAGGAATATTCAATATAAGTGTTGGACAGAAAAGATAAATTGTAATAAATAAATTAGAATTGTGAATTATAATAGGGCCTAAGTATTGTATAAATTATTTAGTACGTTATAAATAAATTTTAAATAAAGTGTTTTAAATAAATAAATTATAAATAAATTAAACAAACGTTACAATATATTGTTTAATGTCCACATCTCAATAGCAACCATGTGGAGACTCATTAATAATTTTAATGAATCTTGAGTGGACTCTACCACAATCTATAACCATTTTTTTGGGGCTTCCATTGATAAACAGTGACACAAAAACCGTTTCATATAAAACGAACTGGTTTATGTCTCAGATAAACAAGGTTATGTTATGCTAGTTGAATAAAATCACTCATTCATAAACCACTGTGAACACAAAATGAAAAACTATATTGTAATGCGAGCCATTTCATTATTCAGTCACGACTATGGCGAAGGCGCTTACGATTATATTCCAGATTGAACGTGATAATGTTTCTAGTTTTGGCGAGAGAACATTCTAGATCCTCCACTAAAATTTTAAAGGTGTATATAAATATTAGTGGAGAAATACGGTGCAGTCAGTCGTATACAAACAGTTGTGAAGATAAATAGTGAACAATTTAAAGACATTCGAAATATATACAGTGAGCATCATAAGTCTTACCCCCCCTAACTAACTCGTTACTGGAGTCTTGTTAGGAAAATCGCCGAGACAGGTCGATTTTTGTTTTCTACAATGGTCATTTTTATATGATTAGTTTACCCTTAATTTCATCCCTTACTGGAGGGGAACAACCCTTTCGAAAAATTTAAATGGCATGGGGTGGTGAGTGATAGCTTAAAAATAACAAAACCTCACAAAATAGGAGAGCAACTAAACTAATAGTAACCTTCTAATGGCAAAAAGTCTTACTTCACGTCTGAACCAAAACCGAAATCATGCAGGGCCGAATTTTAATTCTAAGAATGAGTGCGCTACGTTAATTTCCGTTATTCTGAAACAACAATTAGTCGAGAATTAATGAAGCAAATTTCAAAATTTTTTACATGGTTGAATAGAGAATTAAACCCTCTTTCAAATGAGCTATCACTCACCACCCCATGCCATTTAAATTTTTCGAAAGGGTTGCTCCCCTCCAGTAAGGGATGAAATTAAGGGTAAACTATTCATACAAAAATATACACTGTAGAAATCAAAAATCGACGTGTCTCGGCGATTTTCCTAACAAGACTCCAGTAACGAGTTAGATAGGGGGGTAAGACTTATGGTGCTCACGGTATAAATTAGAATAGTATAGTTTTAAAATAAATAAGTGTTCAAATAAATTATTAACTATAAACTGTTGTTTAAAATAAACAAACGTCACAATATCATAATATTTATTACAATTTCATTTATTGAAGATTTTTTTTATCACTGTGACAGTCTTTATTTTTTTACTTAAAAAAATTAATTTATTAGCATTTTTCAGTGAAGGGATACAAAATTAAAAAGATTTCAGATTTAAATGTAACTGGTCACATGTTGATTATTCTTTGGACATTAAAACATTTAGTTTATCACGACTTTGACGCCAAATGGTGTACAAAAATGTTAACTTTATGGGGGGATTTATTAAAGTTTTATACGGCATTTATTATTTAGTAATTATGAATTAAATAAATTCCAATTATTTTCGTAATATCATTATCGAAAAAAACATGTTGCATGCGTGGATGTACAAACCCATCACGTCGCAAACTTGGATTTGATTCGTTAGTAAAGAAATTTTATAAATTTCCACAGAGTACATTTGGTTTCTCACTTCCAGTGATATATATAGTTACATAGATTGCTTATCTATATGTAAATCCTGTTTGATCGCTGGGAGCTCGCAAATTTTTTTATAAAATACTCCTTAATAATATTCTGAATCTATCCATGTAATAATAATGATAATAATATTAAACTCTTATAGATTATTGTAAACTGCTGCACCTATATTCCTGATAGTAATTTATTTACGTTTTCATATTTCCATTGTTAATTTCTAATTTATTATTTTTTAATATCCGTGTTATTAAGTTAAAATTAGCTGGTATTAATTAATAAATAAAATAAAAAAATGTTTCACTTCAACCACAGTGTAGATGCAGAAGAAAGATCTTTAGAGAGGAAATTATAAAATTTTGTAATATATAAAGTAACACATTTTAACAGCTTTAAACTCAAAAATGGAAAAAGTATTGACGTGTAGATCTCGCTTTTCTTATGTTTGCTTCAAGTTTTTGGTGACATAGTTGCTAAATGTATATTTTTTCCCGAAATTTCCGAAAAAAAAATGGTCCAATGGACATCCACATGAAATTCATGGACATCCAGAACATTATTTGGACAAAATATGGACGTCGTGTGCTGTCTGGGTGTAGATTCTGTCTAGTCATAGTCAAGTATTTGTTTGGTGTAGTGTTGTCAGGATAACTTAAAAGCTCCTTGAAAACTGTGCAGTTTCTTGTTTCATCCCATCTTTCCTTGAATTTCACAAGGGAATGTTCTTTAATTAGGTCTGTCACTACCGATTTTGTCAGGCCAATAGAAGGGCCAGGTCCAAAAAAGTATTTGGTTGGCTGCCTTCTTGACCAATGAATCTGCAAGATGGCTACCTTTCGATGTGACGTGACCTTTGATCCATCTTAAGTGGTCACATTGTTGATGAATAGTTCGGCCAAAGCTTCGTGACATTCTAGTATCAACCCTGAGTAACTTCGTGGTCTTTTCAGGGTGATTGTCTGCTACCTGTATAGATGAGCATGTTCCTTCCAGTGATAATGTTTCTGGTGATTTTTTTTGCTGCTGTGAGAATCCCTGTGAGCTCTATTTTAACTACACTGGAACTATTGCTCACAGCCCATTTTATGTTTAGGTTTAAGGATCTGAAGTATCTTCCACATTCTGAGCCTTGTTTTGTTTTAGAACCGTTGGTGTAGATATGAATCGTACCTGCCACTTCCGGCTCTTCTATTTATTCTGATATAACTTTACATTGCTCATGGAAGATATATCTCAGTGAGATGAAGCCCATTTTGGCTTGAAGCAGAGGGAGCGTATCGAACGCCTCCTGTCAAAAGCGACGTCTCGCCTCACCAGATCCTAGTAATCCGATAATTTGACTTAAAAAAGGCAATTTTTTTTTTTTCGGGAATAAATATATATTTGGCAACTCTGTCAACAAAAACTTGAAGCAAATGTAAGAAGTTTAGCCAAAACTACTAAACGTCGATATATTTTTCCATTCTCGAGTTATAAGCTGTTAAAATGTGTTATTTATAGTATTTAAATATGATAATGGCTTTGCAGAAATCAAGTGATTTTTTTTTGTATTTGTTTGATTTACTTTAAATGCATTAAACCGTTTTTTTACAAAATTTACATTTCCCATTAAAATTGAAAATTAACAATATTTAACACTACCCAAGTAACCCATTATATCAGATTTGTTGAAATATAGCCTAAATATCAACTAGCATTCAAATTCATATTGTTCAAACCATCGAGATAGAATAAAGAGGATATGCTATGACGATACTAAAAGTGTCCACACCTTTGCATTACACTTTTACGTCATATGTCAAACTTGAGCTAGGAGCTAGTCAGTATTGACGAGAATAAATGCCATTTTTAGAATAGAATAGAATAATATAAAATTATTGACTTCAAATAAATCAAAGTACGGCTGTAAGTCGCCACTTTGATTAAACTTTTCCGTCACTCGAAGTGCGTCCATCTGTTATATCGCAAAATAGTATTTATGTCGTCTCTACTTCATTCTCGATGGTTCAAACCATATTAAATTTCATCTAAACATTTTTGCACCAAACATATAGGTACATTTTGATTATCAATTCTTATTGAATATTTGTATAACACTGATTATTTCCCTCGCCTGTCTACTTTGACATTTTAACCAATCACATCGGAATTTACATTATCGTTAGAACCAATCAGAACCTATTTTCACTGACTGCCTCATATTGACTACCTATCATGCATGGTGCTTGATATTCACCTATGTTGACATCAACTCGCATATTTGATTATAGGTGTAATATTAATTTAACAACGGCTACTGTCAAATATGTTAATTATCAGAGTACAAGCTAATAAAAGTTATTTTATTGTGCATTTATTAATTTAAATTACATCCCAGGGCTCTAGAAATAATCCCATTAAATATAACTCGACCTTAATAAATTAGCGCCTATTTCTATTGTTACTAAATTTTTCTTGTATTTTGCAATTTGTCTCGACATCATTTTGTCATTAATAATCAAAGAATATAGTCCGCGAGCTAAAGCCACAAAGCACATAGAGGTTCCACGTGAATGACCAAGGTCAAAACCGACAACTGACATTTTTTATGCTATTTGCTCCAAACTCTAGATGGGGCTACAGGTGAAATTATGATTTCTTACTCCATTTTTACATCCATTTTTAAGCCTTATGGGAGAAAAACAACCAAAGACTCCAAAGATGTGACGTGTATTTATTTATGTTCTTGGTTAGTTTCATTTTTCCGTCTGATTTTAGTGATTTTTTGTTGGCTTTGGCTTTTGGTTTCTGTTTATAGTTTCGTCTTAGTTATTTGCAAAATTGTGATGTTTCGCTTTTTTATTTCCTACTGTGTTTTGCAATAATTTTGGTGCTACGTTGAAAACTTCGAGAAAAACTTCATTGATTCACCATATATTCACCATGCATCTGCATCATAAAAAGACAAACGGGGACAACAACTAATTGATAATCAATTTATCACTGGACTAGATTCCGAAATCATTTTTCACATAAGAGAGTAATACCACCATCTGTATTTGGAAGGAAAATACCTATTTATCATTGAATGAATAGTTAAAAGGATTCACCTTTTAATACAATACCTATATTACATTTGTCCTCAGTTAAAAAGACATTTATAAAATATATAACTTTAGTGTTAATAAAATGTAATATCCTAGTCTCTACTTCACATTTAAATTATTGATAGGTACCTATTTTAAAGATTTGAGGATTATATATCTATTTGCTCCAAGTAAGTATTCGTTAAATATGTATTATTATTTGTATTTATTTTTATCTAATAATATTTATTTAAGTTATTAATAAACATATTTTAAGAATGTTCTATTTTATTATTTATTGATATATCTTATATTTATTTAATAAAAATATGCAGAACCAACTCTCCACATTAGACCCCTTATAACAAATTAATTCTTCGAATTTGGTATAATCGACCTAAATTATTTTGTAAAATAAAAGTTTCGAACCTACTAGTTCCATACTTTATTTTATAAAATAATTTATGTGGAAATCATTTAAAATTTAATTTAAAACTACTACCTACTCCTAAAAATTACAATTTGAATTTACCGCCATCTGTCAATTGTCATTTTAGTTCCAGCTCCAAACACAAGGTGGCGCTAATTTGGTTTAAAAGTTTAACATTGGCGTGGGGTCTCTGGAAGATACATGCTTTGTGGCTAAAGCTGTCGGACTCTATTAGGAATTCCAAACAAAATGGTTGCCCGTAGATATGACAGGCCACAGACAGGCACATGATAAGTTATGATATGGCAATACTGTGGGCCTGGTGATTTGACAGCGTCAATGCTATAAATAGATTGATCATCCATGTTTTTAAAAATAAACATAAGCTTATACGTTGAAATAAAAATGTAGGTAATGATTTTTTTAATATATTCAAAGGTTGGAAATTGGTTTTAAAACACATTTTTGCTAAACTGATTCAAATTAATGAGCTCTTGCCAGGCAATATGGCTGCTCGCAAACAACCCGATTTGAGCAATCTATATTTACCATACGTTTTTATCTCTCTAGGCAATATTTTTAGAGTTACTACTTTGTATATCTTTGTTTTATATGGTAAATAATAAATTATTATTATTATTATATAGCACAGTCCCACAGGGTTGCCAGTTCCTTGGAATGCCTAATTCAGATTATTAATGACAAAATTATGTCCGGACAAATGTATATCAAAAACACTCAAAATTTATATACGATAAAAATAGTTGACTATTTATCAAGTTCTTGTTATATTACCCTTAATAATTTCTACATTTTGCAGGGCTGCATTGCACACTTTGTGTTAAATTCATAAACATAATTCCACACCCTTCTTAATTTTAATTTTCTGCAAACAATAAGTATTTATTTTTTGATCACAAGTATTCTAGGCATGATTACCAATTACCAAATTTAATATAAATAGTGATCAAAAAAATAAAATGTACTTTTTTAAGTGTCCCTTGAGGGACAAACACAGAGTCCTCGAGCTAAAGCTCTCGAACTTTATTCATATTATTAATGACAAAATTATGTCTCGACAAATTGATATCAAAAACACTCAAAATTTAGATCCAATAAAAATAGTCGACTATTTATCAAGGTCTCTTTATATTACCCTTGAAAATATATATTTTTGGTTTGTTGGTGTATTCAAAGCTTTGTGTTTTAGATATAATTTGCCATATTTGACTTTATTTGGTGGAGCAGTTTCTATAACATCGGAGCAATTTTTAAAAGTCAACGGTATGTCCAATGAATTTTTTGGTTGGGGTGGAGAAGATGATGATTTTTACAGGTTTGATATCAGACACGAGTGCAATGCTGAAATTTTTTAGATGCAGTGAAATTGTTTGAAATTTATTTTATTATATTTTTTACATGGTATTCCCCTTTGGAGTCAATACACTTGTGCATTCTGTCAAATTATTACTTATCAACGGCAGCATATATAGTTAGGAAACAGAAAAAAAATCATAAATTTGAAGCTTTATGCAGTCAATGGCGGAGGTGTATGAAAAGCATTGTCATAAGTTCAGTTTCGTTAAGGACGTCACTATCAAACTCTTTTTTGGTACACAAACTTAGATGTGTGGCGCAATATCAACTAGTTCAAATTTGCCATTGCATGTATGGTTTTCAAATATCTAAAAAATTGAGCATTGCCGTTGTATTACATAATTCCTTATAATGTATACTAACAAGTCTCATTATATTTTAGGCGCTTAATCTACAACAATTTAGAACCCTGTAGATTTTCACCTGAGGTCAGCAAATATACTATGTTACCACATAGAAAGGAGGATGCTAGGTAAAGTAAAGTAAATAACGAGTTTGGATTACATTGAAACACTATAAATAATTTTATTTAAATGTATACCTTTTCAACAGTTTTATGCAACGAGAAGATTGACGAGGGAAGTAGTATTATATTCCAAAAACCAAATTTTTCTGAGGTACCAATATGACAGGTATATTAGAAATTGATGTAATTGCTTTGTACTGCAACTTAACTGTTTTCTCTACACATTTGAGCATTTTAGTTTAGGTACTAACAAAGAGTAACAATAAAATGACTTTGGGAGAGTTGTGTGTACAAATACATATATAATTTTAAAGTAAATATTTAAAAACATTTTTAAATTACTCTGCATAAAATGAGATATGTGTTTATAGTGTGCTTCTACTCCAAAAGTCGTCCAAATGTTTTTTGTACATACTTTTTTATGGCGAGAGTCTACTAACACTAACATTTTTTTTATGGTATTGGTTCATCTTATATGGTACTATGGTTGATAGTCTAATATTTCTTTATAGTCTTATCAATGAAATATGCACTGGGTGTCCAATAAGAGAATGGATGCCGGCCATATCTAAGGAAAGGTTTATCGTACAGATTTGAGATTTGTTTAAGGGGAATACAATAGACTCAAGAGGCTGCAGTGTTCTGGGCCAAACCTAACCCTACCTGCTTACAGCCGATTAAGATTAAGGGGGAGTAAGGTTAATTCATGCAAAAAAGGCACATTTTTGTGAATTTTTTTGACGAAACAGTTAAAATCTGTTTATTTAAACTAATGGTACATTAAAGTATAACATTCAAAGAATATTGTGTAAAATTTTCATGTAAAAATATCAAGAAATACGGAAATGGTAGCAATTATTCGAAAGCGTCTCGGAAAAAGTAGAATTGCTGTGCCCCTCCTAACTCGGTACTGGCTCATCAGAAATAAAAATATCAAAGTTCTCTCGCTAGATAATAATCGTTTTCCCCAGGTAACGCTGGGAGGGTTTATTGAAATTTAAATTTTTCTCTTTTTGGGATTCTTGCGAAAAAAACTAGGCTAATTTGTTATAAAATAAAAAAATATTAACAAATTTGAAAAAACTCTCCAGCGTTACCTCGTAAACTATGTACAGAAATAGTGTTCAAAATTTCAAATGGATAGGTGAAGTAGTTTTGAAGTTATGAGGGACACCGACTTTGGAAACGTGAGTTGTGGGAAAAACGCTTTAAAGGTTTTGAATACTAAAAAATTTGAAATAAAACGTTCATAAGCGAGTTTTATCGACTTATCTCTCACTGAATCATCGATGCCAGGTCCATAAAGGATGTTGCTATAATTCATGATGTCTAAAACATCTTTTTGTTCCTGTCTACGACGAATCCTCATTCATGAGCGCTTGATCCACTACTGATTCCCATGTCTTGCATGTAGGTTAGTAAAGCAAAAGAACATGCCAGGCCAATGCTACACTAAATTATATACAGTACAGGTATAAACACGTTTGTACTTGTGTTAAAATTTCTACAAAGAAAGGTAGGAGGTAAGGTTAAGGATTATATAGAGAGCGATACAACTGCCAGGCAAGGGCGGCTCGGAATTTTTGGTGGGGGCCATTGCCTTTAACTATTCTCTTTTTAGCATATTTTGTTGAATAAAAGGCTCATAAATCGTAAGAATTTTCATCTCGGGTGGGGGGAGGGCATGGCCCTCGTAGCCCCCCCCCCCCGGGCCGCCCTTGCTGACAGATAATAATAGCGCGCTCGGGCCGGGCAGATATTTTCTGATGCGCTGAGTCATGTATGGAGGCGCGGTTACTCAAACCGCTGTATCTTCGTGAGTTTTGCTCCGATTCATCTCGAATTTTTGCACAATGTTCTTGAAAGGTTCTCCATTCACAAAATCAAATATAAAAATAAATATAGTTCTAAAAAAACTAAAAAACATGCTTTTAGAGCATATCAAACTAAAAAGTTAAAAATAATTTTTCAAATAAGCTTAAAACAATAATAAATGGAAAATACTAGCATTATTGTGAAAAAAGGGTCGGGCGCTCGATGTACGAGAAATATTGACAAAGCGCCCCACGCTTTTTTCACAATAATACTAGTATTTTCCATTTATTGTTTTAAGCTTATTTGAAAAATTATTTTTAACTTTTTAGTTTGATATGCTCTAAAAGCGTGTTTTTTAGTTTTTTTAAACTAATTTATTTTTCACTTTTTAGTTCGATGTATTATAAAAGCGTGTTTTTTAGTTTTTTTAAACTATATTTATTTTTTACTTTTTAGTTTGATTAATTATTAAAAAAAAAAAAATTGTAAGTTGAAATTGCTGAAAAAAAAACAATTATTTTTTTTCAGCCGTGGACGGGATTACAACCCACGATCGGTGAGTCTGGCGATCGACGACCCGCGCCTTTTAGACCGCTCGGCCAACGAACGAACTTGAGGTAGTGTCATATACTGACAGTAATAAGCCACTTGCTTTTGGTCCAAAGGAGAGTTGCAAACATACATACAGGTGAAGCTAATAAAAGCGTGTTAAAAATGCAAAAAAAAAGTTTAAAAACTTTACTCCCTCCTTAACAGAAGTGGTCCCTTTAAATTCATTGAAGCTGTTCGAAATTTTACTCAATTTTGACTATCCACCCGTTTGTTTATATATCATTAATTGGTCATGGGTGGAGTTAAAAGCTTGCAAATAATGTATAGCTATTTCTTTTGTCTTGTATCAAGAATGTTTTTCTAAAATTATATAAGGCATAGTTTCTGAGATACAGACTGTTTCTTTTTGGACACCCGGTGTATATTTTTTATTTTTTTTAACAAAAGAAACTTTGGGAATAAAACTAAAATAATTAACCGAATATAGATAGATTCTTCTTAACCAGGAAACATTTTTCTTTTAATGATTTACCTATTATTTTTACATTTTGTTTTCCAATTGTACTAATATCTTTTTAAACAATTTTATATTTATAAGCCTGGGACTTTGATAATTCTTTAACAATTTATAATAAAATAATATCCTGTATATCACACATTTGAAGTATGCAGCCAATTTTTTGATAAAAAAATGACATGATGAGAATTTTTATATTTATTTGTCCCAAAGTCAATTAAAATCGTATCCAGAAACCTTTTGCCTATTGTACATAATTGTGCCATAAATTACACATTTTATTGTAAATATATAAATATAGTTATTGTTTAATTATGATATTAATAATAATAAATAATAACAACATAAATCAACAAAACTTCATCATTCTTTCAAGGTGGTTCGGATTTAATTTACCTATAAGGGATTTTGTAAATAAACATAGCTAGTAGGCCCAGTTATTAGAGATAATCAATTCACATTAATTACAACAGTTTTCAAACTTTGTTGGAATATGTATTAAATTGAAATAATTGTAAATTCAATTTTGCAACTTTTTCTGAGGTCCGAAACATATTAATAATTGCAAAAAATTAAAATTTATTATAACTTTCTAAAAAAAAAAAAAATGCGAAAGTGCTGCAAACTTGAAGCCATGTGTTGTATTATTTTCAACATTATATCAGTTTTGCAACTTTTTTTGAAAGTCCGGAACATGATTTTTTTTGTAAAATAGTGTTTTTGTTTATAACATAGACAAAAAAATTGCAAAAGTGCTGCAAACCGATGACATAACTCATACAAGTTTTTGGAACAGTTATTCCAATTTGCAACCTTCTATTTTGCACGGAAATATTTTTTTTGTAAAAATATCAAAATAATTTTTTATTTTCCTCTAATTTTGTCAAAAAAAAAATGCAAAAGTTTTGAAAATTAGTTGCAAATATTAATATTATTTTTCTTAAAAATCTGGTAAATTTGCAACCTCGGTCAAGGTCCGGAACCTTGAAAAATTAACATACATCAAGAATTTGCACCATGGCGTTTTAATTTTATCTTTAAATATCTTTATATATAGAAACTAAATGAAACATGTACAATATAAAGATGCATGCGGGGTATTACAAGTGCGAATATATAAAAGTTATAACTGAGGGTGGAGCCTAAATACAAAACTAATTCCGAGAATAAAATAATATAATTATTTTAACGATTGCATGCATGACCTTGAAAATGGGATTTTTAACAACTAACAGAAACACAAAATCTATGCATATATTTTTAAATAGGTCCTGCACGATCAGAGAAATGTTCCTAGGGTTTAACGAAGAGCTCGATCTTGCCCAACTTATGCAAAATTTCATCCGAACATCGGTAGTTACACCAGGCCAATGTAGATGGACCAAATATGTTTATGTCTCAACGACGTAAGTATTTTAAATATTTGTACAAATGACGCATCATGCAATCCAAGTTTAATTAAATATTAATTAAATATTTCGAGTATTTTAACATATTTAATGCAGATATCGTGATAAATGGTTCAGATTTACAAAATGTTAAAATAACATCCGCATTTTAATGGCCGGTGCTCGCGAGCATTTGTTGCAGTCGCGTGTACGCAATGGCATTAATGGGGCGGCGTCGAAATACATAAGGTTCTTTCGTTCGCTGTTGGTGAAGTGTCCACCAGTGTATATAATAATAATAATAATGATTTTATTGATACAGGCCTTTACAAAACATTAAAATACGTCACTTAAAATATGAGAAATACAAGGTATCCTGTAGAGCAACAGGTAAAGTTCGCTTTCTTCAATCTGAAAAAAAATCAGAATGAAGAAGAGCGTTCTTCCACTTAACCTACAAAAAAGTATACATTATTATACATTAACTAGGTACATAATTTTTTTTACCAATAAACTAATTAAGCAGTAAAAAATAATATATAATATAAAAAATTTGAGCAATAATTAGATAATAGTCATAAACAAAAAGCTGAAACAAGTACCTAGACATTTTCACAACTCCATGTACGACATCAAATTCATCATGTTTAGTTGTTTTAACCTTTTTTTAAAATTAACCAATGATAATGATTTAAGAAAATTAGGTAGAGAGTTATAATACTGGGATATGCAAT